ATACAGTAATACAGTACATGCACCAGTCTTTATTGGCATGCCCGGCACGCGGACCCAAGGCCTGCCCGTCCAGTTATCTGGTCAGGCTAGAAGCTTCGAATATTCTGCAAGAGAAAAAATTCTCTTCCCTTGGTGGCCCAGGATCTTATTTCTGCTGGAAATTGGACAGCGCGTTTTTGGCAGAGGAATTTATTTTGCATTGCATTTTTGAGCGCAGCGGAAGGACGAGCAAATATTTGTGGTGACGCAAACAGCTTGATATGCTTAATGAGTCACAAACTGCTGTGCTTACGAAGAAAGTGCGTAAAAATTCTAATTTATTTTGATTTGAACACTTCTATCTGCTGGAGGACATGTACTATGAAGAACTCCGTACGCGGGAATTTTTCCTTTTCCATGAGTACACGAAATTTACAATGATCTGAAAAGATACAATTACTGAGAAAAAAATATGATAAACGAGCATTGACAAAAGAATACCAGAGATGCACAACGTCACGGAGACGCAGACAGGGGAATTTAGCTTTTGTTGTTGGCGTGAGAAAAGCTTAGGAACACCGACTTTTACCATAGGCTGGAACTGTGCAATGTTATTCAGAAGTGGATGGTAGGGCGACACACTTCCCACTGCCTCACTTCTGAGAGCTCTTTGGAATAAATTTATATATAAAAATATACATTTTCTTTATACCAAGCTGGCGTAACCGTAAACAGGTTAAATTTAATTAAGTTGAATTTATTGCTTTCCTGGTTATTTCAACGAAATATTAAAATGGTTTGCCCCCTTTTCTACCTGTATCAAATTATCAAACTTCGAGTCGTGCTTCTAACGCGGCGCCCGTGGGAGCTCCAAGTTCTCGCATAGTTAATAAATCAGATTAATTTCGAGAGGACTAAGTTACAGCAGTTCTTCGGCTCTTGATCAAAGTAATGCTTCTATAAGTTCTCATTACTGACGGATTCCAGCAACAAGATTACTCAATTATTTCTTCAGAAGCCGAGAATGATAAGTATGAAGATCGATTTTAATCAAAAGTTGAGAATGAGATGTATGAAGATAGAGATTAATTAGAAGCTGAGAATGAAATGCATGAAGATTGAGATACAATTAGAATCAGAGAATGAGATGTATGAAGATAGAGATTAATTAGAAGCTGAGAATGTGATGTATGAAGAATAAGATTAATAAGAATCAGAGAATGTGATGCCTGAAAATTGAATGTATTAAAAAGCCAATAATGAGATCTAATTACAAGTTGATGATGAGACGTAGAGAATTGAGTGGTAGTAATTGGAAGCTGGTAAAGCAATGCATAAAGATTTAATAACCTATTATAGCGACATTCCATTGTATTTCATGCAAACAAATTCTAATTACGCGATCATGAACGAAATTAATGTAATTAAATAAAGTGTATGCAACTATTAATTTAAATTGAACTTACTCTACAGGTGCTAGTTTAGGTCTCAGGAGACTACATATTTAAAAATTGAATCAAAAGAAAAATATTAGAAGAAGATTACAATTCCTGCAAAAAGATGGAAGTCAATAAATCTCTGTTGGGTCTCGACTCTCGAGATGTGAATGCTGGAGCGAGAATTAAAAAATTCAACCCAAACTATACTTTTTCTCATAGTAATAAATCAAGCGAGAATCTTCATCACGAAAATTGTAAACGATGTCAAAGCATAATGCGGAATCTATGTTGGCCTATGTTGGCTTGGGAATATTATGTGAATACCTACATTTTTTAAATATCTTCCATCAGTACTTATCTATCCGGAGCCCAAACTGTACGGTCGGTTCAAAGAAGCATGGCTTTAAAGCGATCGTAATTTTTCAGTTGCAAGTCTACGCTTAAAAATTCACCAATTCATTCCTGTGAATTTTGAGCTCCACACAAACTTTTTCGCTCATTTTCTGCTCAGAGCAATAATTGAATTCCGTCGCAATTATTCAATCAAGAAAATTCACATACGCGAGTTTTGATATTTATTGTTACTGTAACTCCTTTGACCACTCATTACTAGTATAGCTGTCAAATTTAAACTGTATTTGTTTGTAACGGTCAACACCACGTACGACTTTTCATCCATCAAAAGAGAGCAAAGTTATGTTCACACTCTGCCATCACCATAGTTCTCATCTCCGGTAAGATGATATTTCACTTCTACTCAAAGCTTCGGCAAAATATTAAAAGCCAATAACCTTCATACAACGGTTGGAGTTATAAAAAACTCAAGAGGAGTGAGAGCCTGGCGCCTACGATGCCCCAAGAGATTGGTTTGGGCGCGAGGCTGCGACGGTCTCAATGGCCTTTAGCGGGACCGTCTTGACGCCCGTAACCTCACCCCGCAACTGCTATGTGGCTACTGGAAGTCTGCGACCTCGAAAATTTAGTGAATATAAAAAGACGAGAAAGTCAAGAACTGGAAATCGCCTCTGGATGCAATAACAAACTCGTTATAACGTAGATTTGAAATCTGTTTGCTATGAATAACGAATGAGGAAGACGCTAAGGAGTACATTATGTACATCAGGCAACATGATCCATAACACTCAATTAAAAATCTTTCATAGATTGTCGTTTGAGAGAAGTCAGCCAGATGATTTCTAATGCGAAATTCCCCCCCCCCCCGAATTACAGCATTAAATGTTTGATTAAATATATTTCTGCATTTCTCACTATATAATAAAAATTAGGCGTGACACTAGAATTTTTTCAGTTTTTCACGCAGTTGAGGACGAATTCTTGACTACATGCATCTTTTATTCACGATATCCCCTTTCCTTTCCCACGTTTTGTCTAATTATATATAATTAATTACACACTTATTCGAGTCCGTCCCACTATTGATTGAATTCATGAACGATGTTTACAAAAATGTAACTCACATTCAAATTGGACATTACATGGAAAACACGCAGTAACCGCATTATCGACCTTCACTTCACAAGAGGCTGGTTGTTGGGTTATGAAGAGGCACTAAACATCATTGATTATTTAGACTCTTACCGAAGACACTTGGTTTAAAGAGACAGAAAAAACTCTGCAGCACAGCGTCATCACAGATGATGCTCTGCATCACAGCGTCATCACAGATGATGCTCTGCAGCACAGCGTCACAGAAGTGGAGCAGGTCTTTACTATTCAAGTTAATTTTCTTTTCGCTTTCGCGAGCCTTTCAGTTCAATTCCTAATCTTTGTGCTTCGAGGAGATCGCCCCACAAGTGACATTGTTCAGCATATAATTACCATCACCTTGAATAGAACTTTTATTTTGCATTATTTTTGCATTAATGTTATCCTCAAATGTGTACCTATAAAAAGAGTAAAGTAAGAGAGTAAACTAAGAATATTCCCCTCCCAATTTTGTTCGGGATCAACGCAGCTGATGTCACTTTGAGAAATTATTCCAACATCCTGAACTCCTGCCTATAACTTCGACATCTCGGGGCCTTCATGATATGAGTTAGACGGGCTCAGCGTTAAACAGATGCAGTGTTGGACTATCAGAACGCTAAACGGGTGCCGTTTTTGGCTGGCGCTGTCTTAAACGAAACATGGCTCTGCCTTTAGGGTAACGACCGAGGAGCAATTGAGGAAATGCACCGGTCATCGAGCTTGATATTGGGGCCTGAGATACAGGGGAGTTCACCCACTGGTCGACTCGGAAGATCTAAATTGCCCCGGCATGTTGTAAGGCAAGTTTTTTTTATATTTGTGAGCTTAACAAAGAATTCAAATCAATAGCTCAATATTACCACGAACCTTGCTGTGCATGATATTTCTTTCCGTAGACTGATTTCATAATGATAAGTCACAAAAATTGACTCATTAGAAACTAGAAAATGAGCGATAGAAGTTTTTCGAGTCAGAAACCGTACTCTGAAAAGTTTGCTGACGCATTCATTCCTCTAACAACCACCAATGATAGTGTCTACCATCAGCAAACTGACCGAACATTGAGTATGTTTCGAAGAGATTCGAAGAGATCGAGCCCAAGCTTCGGGGTGAGTGTTACAGACACCGCCGCTGTTTGGGGCAAAGATCGATGGAGACGAGCGCGCGCGAGACGCCAGCGTCACGACTCGGGACGTCTGCCGCAACTTTAACTCGACTGTCTGCACAGACGTCGTGAAAAACTACAGACTCAGGCGATAGTTTTCACCTGCGAGGGTGCGTCAAAATTTTTGTAAAGACAAAACTTTGGAGGTCAATCTTAACGTCGAAAAGAAGATTCATACATTAATAAATGAAAAATGTGTTTTTAATCAGCCCAAGACTGAAAACAGAAAATTAAATGAAATAAAGAAATCAGTTTTACTGATTGCATTTCTGATACATTATTAGCTATATTTGTAGCTCTTACTACATCAGTAGTTATTTTGTACTCATTCTAGTAAAAATACTTTAGGTGCCCCCAAAAAAATACCGTATGTGCAAAGAATTAACCGGCTACCAATTATAATTACCTGCAGACATTATTCCTATATGATTAGGACCTCGAATATTTCATTTATATCAAATCGTATTCCACAATTCGTTACTTCGTAACGTAAGTCAGCTGTTGAAAAAATCCCAACGTCAGTCAACTGTTGAGTGAAGACCATATCGAATAAATATAGGTTGCTATATTGTTGCATGTATACGTTGAATAATGAAATGAAGAAAGGACTTGAGGACATAAGTGAAAATCATTGCATGAAAAACAATATATTATTAAAGTTGCGAACACTTTGGGATGCTTGGAACTAATTTTATCACAAGTTATTCCTTAACGATGATTATTCCGCATATATCACGAGCCAATATTATATGAGTGCATCACTGAAGGGCCAAATAAAGGAGTGTGTCATTTAAATGGCGCGATAAAATGCCGAAATTTTAAATGTTAATGTTCTACCGTAATGTTCTTCAGAAATTAATATTCATTTTTGGACGAACATCAAATTTTGGACGAACGCTTTAGTTTTTTACATGAAACTATTGTTCGCCAGTTCCGGCCACCTAATCTCGCACTCAAAGTTTACTCTATATTCTACACAAGACCGCCGAAAATTTTCTCTTCTGAATACTGGCGCGCGAGGCCTGGTGTGTTCACTAAATTATTGTGATGACGTCGGTAGTCTTCAGCATCAGCCCACCAGCGCCGGCACGACGAGCCCAACACGAACCAGTCCTCCAGGTCCCGGTACGTCCCATTTGGCCACTTCGGGGTGAGGGTCCTTGAAACAAGTCCAGGCACGGCTCCCTGTCTGTAGGAGGTTCAACAATCACAAGCTTCCGTCTCAAATTTTTTTGTCTTAATATATGCCCATCACAAGCTTCCGTTTTAACATTTTTGTCTTAAGTTATGCTCCGTTCATTTGAGCAATTCAGAAAAAATTATAGCGAAAACGAAATCTTCATTACTCATGTAAATTATTATTTACATTGAGTAAATAATAATTTTACATATACATATTTACTAAATTTTCATGTAAATTATTATTTTATGATAAGAAAAGATTTCGACGAAATAAACTGTAATGCCAAAGTATCATTTTTAACTGAGTGAGCCCGTCATTAATAATATACGTTTAAAAATTACTTTTTAAAGACAACACTTCCAAAGAATCCAGTATCTCCAATCTTAAAGATGTACCATGAATTTCTCATTTAATTTTCGAATATTAAAAAAATTAATTTTTCAATTTTTTTAATATATAAATTTTTTTTAATATATAAATTTTTATGACATTTGATTCATGCATTGTCTCCAACTTTAAACAAGTATGCAAAATTTCAGATCGATAGGATAAGTAGAAGTTTGTTAAATTTCGATTACAAGATTTGTAGCAGACAGACAGACAAAGAGACAGACAAACAAGAAGTGAAGTTAAAGAGAAGTGTTGTAAAAATAGGTTAAAAGAAACGCTTTAGATATTTCATGCAATATAACTTGGGAAATGGATTGAAACCCGTAGAAGTTTAAGAAAAAGAAGAAATTCCTTATATGATTTCATATGTGGTTTCCATTAGGGCCTCTCCCAGGCAGTCTGGGTCGGATGTCAGGCTATAACGTTTGGCACGGCCGCTATTTTTGCAACGAATGAGATTTTGGAACGTAAATAAGATTTATGAGCCATATCGTCCAGATATCGGCAGTCAATAAATTTCTTGCCATGTGTTACCATTTTCGTGAGTTACATCTATAAATTACATTTATGTTTTTTACTAAATGCACTTATCCCAATTAGGAGATCGCCTGAATTTGGAGAAAATAAAAGGACATTATATATGATAATTTCCAATGATTGATGACTGATGAATTAAGATAAATTTAATATTATTATTATGACTATTATTTGAGTGAATATGAAATAGTTCAACAAGCAATCTACGAGTAAAAGTCTACGGGAAAAGCGACCAGTATTATATTATAAAATCCAACGACCAAATGTAATGAAAGTTATCCATGAATTCGAGATTGATCAAAGCATTGAAATTTGTATAGTATCTGTGCCAATTTTTTTCAATTACTTGCAGCTAGGTGCTGTGAATATATAAATCGGGGCTATCCAAGCGTATTAAAGGAATTGAAATAATGTTTATGCACTTCAAATCCGGAATAAAATTGAAGTCTATGTTAAATACGGGTTTCCATGGAGATTTTTTTGAACGTCGGTTTCTAGGTTACTTATATTCGAAGAAGCTACATTTGTGATCATTGGATTCAGAAATTTCATACAAAAATTGGACAAATGCAGGCAAAATATCTGAAATTTTTCAGGCAAATGTCAAACAGATGAGGACGAAATCGTGGTCAAACCCAAGATCATCGTCTGATTTCGCTGCAAGAATTTAATATAGAGGAACATGTTGGATTATTTAAATAAAGGTTAAGATCAAAACTAGAGAGAATCATCTGTTACACCCTACCAAGAATGAGTTCATGGGTTTGTATGTGGTTTGCTTGAAGCCTGGTAATGGAAAATTAATAAGGCCCAAGAGCCTCTTTAATTTTTTTATTCTTTTTAATTAATTAAATTTAATTAATTTCCACAATTCCAATCGTATTAGGATCTTGTCAAACGTTAAATTTCACTTTTATTGGTTGAGGCATGCGGTATTGCTAACTGAAGGAAGGGAGAGTTAGATTATGAATAAAATTTGTATTGAAATAAACTTTAATATAATTTGGAAGATGAAAAATTAAATTTAATCAGAAATTTTTTATAGCAGTTCTAAGTTAAAGATTTTGAGTAAACGGATTTATCTGAAGTAAAAACGTCGATTTAAATGTTGTTTGCTTTTCTGAAACAATCATAGATATTATACCAGATTCGGCGTATCGAGATTCACAAAAACTAAATTCTCTAATCAAAAAAATCATTCATGTCTGGCTGCTCTAGGCTTGTCCACAAGCAAATGTAAAAACACGATTATGAATTTTGTTCTTGTGCAATTTTGTTATAAGTTTAGCCGAATTGCAACATAAACATAGTCATATTTCATCATAAGCATAATCAAAGTGCAGCGTAAGCATAAGGCTGCCTTACGTTTTTTGAATGCGTTCGTGCTGCTGAGGTAGGCCGTGGAGTCTCGCACAAAGATCACATATCATGGGATCAAAAGGATGGCCGAGCTGAACGCTATAGTGCTCGCGCCACTTAAAGAACCTGGTTCAATAATTCGGCTGTTAGTACATGTACTTCATTATAAATAATGAGTTTGATGTAAGTAAATTTATATCGTAAAGCGATTTGTATATTAAACCGTTTGCTCTGTGATTCAATGCAATTAAACATCTCAGTCTAAATAATAATGTTTTTTATATAAACATGGAATATATTTAAAAACAAGATTAATTGTGTTGAAGTCCAAGTTAACACGGCTTCTTCCAAATCAACACTAAATCCTTCCAAACACACTAGCTTTAAACATTAATCGGCAGTCAATACTATTCGTAATTTTTAAAAAGACGCGGATCACAGGAATCTCTGAAATTATCGCAGATCAAATGAATCTCACCTGTTGTACAGAGTCCTGTTGGCGGCGATGGACAGGAGCGCTTGTGCCAGCTTCTCAGGAGTTGGAAAGTCGAGCGCGTTTACGAAGGACTCCGGCGGCGCGATGGCGTTGTAGTCTGCACCACCAAGCACCACCGGCACCACCCCAAGCTGCAGCGGCATGAAGAGTTTCTCTGTCACGTAGTCCTCGCCTGCGAAAAAGGCAAGTTTAAACCTCATGCAAACAAAGAAAATTTGCCAAGGCAAACAAGTGAGTAGTTTGCCAAGGCAAACAAGTGAGGAGTTTGCCAAGGCAAACAAGTGAGTAGTTTGCCAAGGCAAACAAGTGAGGAGTTTGCCAAGGCAAACAAGTGAGTAGTTTGCCAAGGCAAACAAGTGAGGAGTTTGCCAAGGCAAACAAGTGAAGAGTTTGCCACGGCAAACAAGTGAGGAGTTTGCCAAGGCAAACAAGTGAGGAGTTTGCCAAGGCAAACAACTGTGAAGAAAGGCAAACAAGTACGTCACAATATTTGGTATGTTGTTCTTGCGTGCATTGACGGCTGAGATCTTGGGGCAGAGGCACTAAGGAAGACATTTTCTGCACAACGTCCCAACCAGTAAGCAACCTGCAGGAGTCTATCAGTAATGAGTGGATAATTGAAAATAAAATCTAGAAACATTAATGAATCATTGAATAATTCATTATTAGATCAATTCAAACAGTTTCTTTGCTAAATAACATTATTGAGCACAAGATAATTCAGCCTTGAAGAATCAGGAGGGGGTTAATTGGAGGGTGAGAATCAGAGTTAATTGAAAAATCAAGCTCATAACCCTGAGAGAATTTGACTCACAAATGGAGTTCTCGAAGGAGAGGTAGAAGAAGTACTTGCTGGTGATATCGTTGCAGCTATCTTGGTCAAAGGATCCGATTGTTTTGATGGATATGTTCTTCCCGCATTTCTTGAAGCCGCATTTCCCGAACACGTCAACTTTGATGTACCTTGTTATATTGAAACCTAGTGTAGCTGAGAGAAGCCATAAGCCATTTAAGAGATAATAGAAACAGTCACGGGACAAAGAATGTGCGCCAAAAATGAGCTAAACAGTATTTCACTGTTTCATTCTTATCAAATTTCCTAATTTTCATTTTAAAAACATGCATTGCCTTTTTTGGGCTGCAGATTTTACAACTTTCAGCTAGTTTAGGAAAAGATCCAAAATTAAAATCGAAGTGACTTGTAAATCTCCGAATTTTTTCTCGCCACTAATATATCTCAGATTGGTGAAAATATTAATGTCATTACTAAATAAATCCACGATGTAATTCCACTCTAAACTTTTTCAGAACCAAGATTGAAGTAACTGAGATTTGGAACTCACTTGGCGAGCTCTTTGACGTACCACTCCCTCCTGCTGTCAGTGGCGCAGTGACTCACCATCCATGCAACGTAATGGCCGCTCGTTTTCTCTGACCAAAAGTCTCGGCTCTCCAAACTTTCTTGCTCATCTGTAGTAACCATACTATTACTTCATCCAAATACTTCATAACTAAATTTATGGCCTCAGACCCTAAAGAAAAAGTTATTTCATGTCCACGTTCTTATTTCATATATGTTCTTGACCACAAAGTGGCTGATGACTTGGAGGCGTGTATTCTTGTCCCCAAAAAATCATTAGTTCAGCAAAAATAAAACGCATCGAAAATGATCATTGGCACAGAGAGCAAAATTTTTAGTGAGTAGTAAAAACAAATTATGTGAGCGGTGTAGGTCTTGCTCGGCTTTGTACGCTCGAGCGTAGCCATGTGTATGCGTATGTATGTGTACTTATTTTGGTATCCAGTAGCTCCTTGGGAACAGTCCTGCCGTAAGGGACAACAATCTCCGAGTCTCGTCTGTAGCTCATTGTCCAGTTGATCACACCGCGCAGGCGACCGTAGTCGACAGGATGCATGGCCGCGACTCCAAGTGGAAAAAAATAAGCTCAGGGAAATATGACAGAGCGAAGGCTGGGCACCAATGCGTCAAACCATCCAACTGATTGTGGTTGGTCATTTGTGTGGATTTGGGCGAGAAGAGTGAGAATCTTGAAGGATTGAGAGCTAAGTAAAACTTTTCAAAATGACGGGCAGTCTTTGAAATGTAAGCTCTGATTCTAATGTTCATCCATAGCGGATCAAGATTTGTACCCATGAAAATCCGTGGTTATAAAATAATTAGCCAAAGATATATATGTATTATTATCGTTTAACATTTGATTTGTTTTGAATGTGAAAAATGGTGGCTTCTCCTGCCGGTATGATGCAAGTTATGTGAATAGGATTGCGTCTTACGGAGAAGCAGTTCGCTGCAGTAACTGCAATGTTGTAAGCGTTACTCAAGGTCAGACTTGGGATCTAACGTATACATTAGGGCAACTCCAGATCCTCGAATTATTTCTAAATCTGTTATCAATACGAGTTTCTTGCTCGGGATCGTAATGCTCAATTTTATCCCGGGATATTATACCTATTATACGCCTGAGTCATTTACGAATTTGTAACCAGTTCCTCTGATATACTCTAGACTGCTGGGCTATTGAATTTATCAGAAACCACACAGAGGCTCACTCGGAGGTGCCTCCAGCGTGACCACAACCCAGGACTGCCCGGTGGGACGCTCCTGGGGGAGGTCGCTGGTGTTCGTAAAATCCAGCAAGTGGAAAACGACGGCGTCGGCCGTTGCAAGGTTGCGATGGTCGTAAACCAGCTCGCAAGAACTGACAGGACACTTGTGCTGCATCAACCTGAAGCCAGAGAAAAAAATCTAGCATTACGAACATCGTATTAAAGATCTGATTGTGTAGTCAGCATATGCAGTTCACATATGAAATCATCGCGTTTAAAAGCAAGATATGCAATCTTGATTTGTAGTCAACTCAATGCAATAACGATCACTGCAAAATTATTAATTGGGATATTAGTTTCTATATCCGGTGCTCAGAGTTGTGAAATAGAACATTCAAAAGACCTCAGCAGATCAGAACGATAATCGCGCCTTTGTGTTTAATGTCAGTGTTTTGGCTGGACTACATAGGCAGCTGGATCGCCTTTGGCAGATGGATCAGCAATGCTGCTATAATCTTCAAACCCTTGTACTCTATTAAACTTAGATCAACATGTATTTAATCTTATAAACCTGATTTAATCAGCATTTATTTAATCTTATAATATTAACCTAAAGAAAATGCGTTCCCATGACTCGCTGCCAAGACCCCAGAAATGGGTCCAGAGGAGAATCCTCTTGGGAGGGGGTTGGGTAGGAGGACAGGCGGGGTCACGTGGAGCAGCCTCGTCACGTGGAGCTGCCTCGTCACGTGGAGCTGCCTCGTCACGTGGGGCAGTCCTGCCAGGATATGCTTCATCACTGGAGTGAGTGATGGAGCTATGGGCAAATATATAAAGCTATTTTAAAACATAGAGATATATGCAAAATATTGGGCTATTGGCAAACACATTCGTCAGTAATTGAAGTCTTATGCTTACCATTAATTAAAAAGTAATCATTCATTTGCAACAACATAATTACTTAATATAAACACTTTACTTGAGCCTGAACTATCATAGGTTAAACAAGTACAATCTTAAAATGATGTTTGCACGAAATATCTAATTATAATTTGTTTCAAACATCGCGATTACGAGAATATTGACCCATGTTTAAATGGCGGATATCGAGCTCAGCGACATATATATATTCTAGACTCCCCCGCTAGTAATGAAATAAATCTCCATCTATGTGCTTGACGTGTCGGACATTTACTAATCATTTAATTCATAAATTTGACTGTAAAGTTTTTGACAGAAAATGAACCTTTGCCGAAGGCTGCGGCCGCTGATGGACAGGAGGCTTAGGAGGGCCAGCGAGCAGACGACGCCCGTGACCACCACGACGCGGCGCCCCGACGGCCGTCGGCCTTGAGGTTCGTTAAGCGGTACCTGAAGAAATGACGGCTTACTACCAAGTTAGGTCAGAGGGCTTTTATGTTGGACTCCGAATGGTACAACGGTACCGAAATTAAGGCACATCGTTGTGGTACGAGTATTTATGTTCAATTTACGACCTTAATTAACTTAGCGTTTATTTCTATGACAGAAGAAAACACGAAAAGAATTTATCAAATTATTTATCGAAACGTTTCGGAGAACAGCTACTTCATCATTAGAGGAATTTATTAACCGCAGATACAATAAATAAAGAAGAGTCAAACTTACACGATCAAGATCAAGTACCGAAAAAACTGACCAGAAGCCGGCGACGGAAACCTTGCCGTAAAAAAGTTTACACTTTTTATCCACTTTAATTTTTTAAGCGATCGGTTTCATGTTCGATGGTCTGTTTTCCAACACTTTGGTTTTAGTACTTCTCGTGCAAATTAAGCTCTTCTCTGTCGATTGAACTTTACTATAAATTTCCGAACTGATGATGGAGCTGGGCTCCGAAACTATTATTATTAATAATAAAGTCAATTTACTTGGCGCCTCTTTACTTATAAATACTCATGGAATTTGTAATTTAAATAGACAATTTGTGATCGGCGTACTTATTTAATGATAATATTTTTAATCTAACGGCTTAGAAGCAAAGTGATCAGATTGCGATACATTGTTATACAACCAATATAATGTGTATATATATTATACGATTTACATGTATGAATAGACACATAACTTACATGTGTTATCATCTTTCAAAGAATTGTTATTTATACTTGAGTTACACGCAAAATGAATAGCATCAACCTTGGGTTTACTAACAGAGAATAATGCTTGATATGCAATTAATAATCAAAAGGAACTTTTGCTTTCAATTTTTTCACAACTTTGATCGTACATAGAATTTATACCTATAATGATTAATGATTTGAAAACAGCACCACCTGTGAGTCCCACGTAAATGTTTTCTTTGAAATTCAAATAAATTAACTGTGCAAATGACTTCTTTGATTGTCGTACATTTCAACAGTATATGAATTAACAATTAAATTCAAAACCACAAACTCCGACTAAGTTTTTTTTTAAATGCATATGTGTTGAATGGCGTCGGAATTCGTGGAGCCATCAGACGTGCACTTAGATCGAGGAGTTACGAAACTGTGGCACGAATATGAGAGTACATGTGCTGGGTTGACGGCACACAGTTGGTACAAGTGTACGAATCCCAGAGTCAGCGATCTGTGCACCTGCTTCTCGTCCAGGCAGAGTCCGAAGAAGATTAATATCGCTTGCTTTACATAGAAATGATCCAGGATAAGCAGTAGATGTGCTGTAGGAATGTAAGTCCGCCCAAACGCTGTTAATAGAACATATTTTTTTGAAGCCAAGATATTCAACATTTACATGCCAGTCAAGTGAAAAGCAAGAATTGTGAAAAAAAAAGAGAAAAGCAAGAACTCTGAAGTGCCCCTGCAATGTTATCCCTCACTTCTCAGTAGATTATTTATCAGATTGCAAACAAAAAAGCAGCGTTTCAGTATTTGAGTCATAAGCAGGAAAAGGCTAAAAACCAAAGACAAGTTAATTCACTCATGACAGATAATAAAATTTTTATTAATTTGGGCAAATTTTTCGAAGGGCAACGTCTTCTCAAGGCAGGCAGTAGAGTATCGCAGAAGAGTTATAAAGGATCAGTTCTCCGGAGAAGCAGTCATATAGTATATACCGGAGGACCAGGTCAGCGGTACAGCAGTCTAAATACCTACCAGTACTACTAGAGCACCACATCCGCGGTACAGCAGTCGCAGTACCTACCAGAGTACCAGGTTAGCTATACGGCAGTCTCAGTACCTACCAGAGTACCAGGTTAGCGGTACGGCAGTCGCAGTACCTACCAGAGTACCAGGTTAGCCATACGGCAGTCTCAGTACCTACCAGAGTACCAGGTTAGCTGTACGGTAGTCGCAGTACCTACCAGAGTACGAGGTTAGCGGTACGGCAGTCTCAGTACCTACCAGAGTACCAGGTTTGCTGTACGGCAGTCGCAGTACCTACCAGAGTACCAGGTTAGCGGTACGGCAGTCACAGTACCTACCAGAGTACCAGGTTAGCTGTACGGCAGTCTCAGTACCTACCAGAATACCATATTATCGGTACGATATATCAGTACGACCATATCAGTACCTACCAGAGTACCATATTATCAGTACGGTAGTCACAGTACCTACCAGAGTACCATATTATCGGTACGGCAGTCGCAGTACCTACCAGAGTACCATATTATCGGTACGGTAGTCACAGTACCTACCGGGTACGGAGAAGTTCGAGACCCGAAATAGTGTTGGCGAGGTAAGCGCCACCCAGAGGCCGCAGTGTTGGCGCGCGCTCAAGTGGGCCATGCATGACGAACTGCAACGTCCACCGCACTGCTCACCGCCATCCCTCCTATGTCTTGCAGCCATATTTTCTTCACCCTCACGCTAGGTTGTCGATAAATATGAGTAACAGCTGAATAAAATCAATTGTATAGCATATTTATATTCATGTTTTACATATAGGACAGAGAAAGTGGAAAAGTGGTATTAATTAGATCCAATATTTTCAGAAATCTTTATTTTTCTTTTAAAAAATTAACAGTAAATTTGATTTCCTCTTGCTTCCGCTAGTTTTTCTAGTTTGGATCATTTAGGCCAATGCTTTTGCTTCTTTAATTACAAATATTGAAGTCTCTCTTCGGGGCAGGAATTCTGCATGCGCCAATATTTATATTAATCATTGCTGGTAAAAATCGGTATAAAAAATTTACAGGATTTTCAGGAATAGGTCCAAAATACATGTCATTGAATTCAAATTGGCTGATCCTTATTACTAGAAACTTTTTAAGACATAAAAAATTTGCCTCACATGCACTTTTCTGCATAAACTGAAAATGCAATCATCTTCTCTTTTCCTAATCCTTGAAAAAACGACAACGTTGCGGTCATGGTCGCTGCTGAGATTTGGCTTCTTCGCGTCTCATTACCAGCGCCATCTCAGTGCAGTATCTGAACGTCGCCTTTGGCCTTACTTTTTTATCATCGAGCTATATCACCAGCCTGTGATATCGTGCACCACTAACAGGCTGTGCCATCGTATTGTACTATTAAGTCATTTATTAATGGCAGGGTGGCCCAGTGGTTAAAGTTCAGGGCCTATACTTTCAAAAAAAGTTAAGAGATCGTCAGTTCATCGGCCAGTCATTACGGCCTTTCAATTAAAATCCACCAATCATAGACAAGAAAATAGAGCGTAAGTACTTACGTTTACTTAGCGAATTTTGAAAGTAGAGTACCAAGATTGGCGCAGGGATCAAGGCGCGGGTTCGATCCCAGCTCTGTGCGCCAGTTTCTGGTCAGAATCGGCAAGGAGGCCGGGCGGTTTAAGCACAGCAGAATTTGAATCAGTGAGTTGTGAGTTCGAGACCGTAAAATGCTGTGAATGTTTTGCGATGTTAAGAATCGGCGACAGGCCTACGGCCTAATAAACGCTGAAACAGCTATTATTATTAATAATTATTATTATTTACATTACTTTACTATCATTGTAGCGGCTGAATGCCCAAAATTATCATTTACAATCGTATGAGCTGCAGTCGCCATCTGACAACTGTCCTATCTGACTGTTGCCCCTACAATACGGCCGCTGAATTAATGGCAGTCAAGCAGCAGTATAATGTAAGTATTATTTAATTGCAATCATGAACTTGTAATGAGGTTAATAAATGGCTCTAACATGAACATTAAGAACGAATTAAATGAACGGAATAACGTCTTGTGTCCTTGGAGATCAGATATTTCTGAACGGACAAATAAAAGACTAATGAGCATAATAACATACATAGGATTTGTCAGGTCTGTCTTAGTTCCTTATAGGAGTTGTGACAGAGGAAAAAATGCTTACACAAACACCAGTTTAATTTAGGCTGGGTTAATTTGCATGATTGATTATATTCTGGGAAAAACTCATACCCTAGGCAATTACAATTTTCTATGCATGAAATTAATGCAAAGGAGAATTTTATGAGGAATGTACACATTTCCACGCAGAGTCATTCTTACGGCAAACATTCGAACGTAAGATGAGTCTGTATACGAGCACAGAATTGAGTGGATATCATAACGCAAGAAGAGCCCCGAGTCATCTAAAGACGAAATAATACGTAATTCATCGCAATGCAAGTCAGATATTTTTCTGATCACTTTTCCTCTGTGCTCGAGGACACCTATTCTTCTTCTAATTTCGAGTCATGCAACGAGAATTGGGGCGGGTGATCAAGACAGAAACTCTCAGCGACGCTGTTTTAGCGCGGCCAATAATTGGCTCGCAATGTACTATTGGACAGCAATATTTGGCCGTACAATATTTGGCTATCTCACGACTCTAGCATATCCAATATACATGAGGTGCAACCCTCGAAAGGCTCGTTCGTTTTATAATCGGATTCTCCTGTGGCCTAACGATGGTCTTAAATTTCTAACTGGTCGTAAATCCATATTTTAAATCTGCAATCTGTCATTTTAAATCAATTTCTGAATTAATGATGCTACTATTTGCCAGATTGCATAAATTTGAATACGTTTTAACAGCTTTGGTGGGTTTGCAGAACAAGCTCTCAGGGAAAAAAATATCGAATGAATTTTTGAAGTTCTAATATGTGTGACAACATCTAAATGCCGATGAATCGGCGTGAAAACTGCTCTACTGTTCAGGGATCTCCTTCTGAGCTTGTCTGAGTAACAGAGCTTGTCTCTAATGCTGCTCTGAGTAACGGTCCTTGTCTCAATGCTGCTCTGAGTAACAGAGCTTGTCTCAAATGCTGCTCTGAGTAACGGAGCTTGTTTCAAATGCTGCTCTGAGTAACAGAGCTTAGAGCTTGTCTCAAATGCTGCTCTGAGTAACAGAGCTTGTCTCAAATGCTGCTCTGAGTAACAGAGCTTGTCTCTAATCTAACTCAATTCGATTCCAAACTACTGCAAACCGCTTTTTTGTATGGACACTTACGTATTTATTATTGCCGAATTATATTTTTTTACAGTTTTTGAGCAATGGCTTAAGTGCGCGAAAATATTATTTAAATAATTATTATTTTAGAATAAATATTATTCTAAGTTTGTACTTAGATAAATATTAAGTACTTAGCTCAGAATATATGAAGACTGCATTTAAATGCAATTAAAATATTTAGGGCTATTGAATTAGGTTCTATGAGACGATGAGACATGGAGCAGAAACTCCAAAATTCTAGATGAACTTGCAATAGTTTACAATAACAAACAAATGAAAACTTCAAAAGATTATAACGGCTACTCAATGAATGACGGGAAAAAACTGCATCAAAATCATATTAGGAATTTTTTTACAATTTAGAAGCTTCTAGGCTTTCAAGGGCAAATTTACATTCCATGTTTTTTTAATAAAATTAATAGATTCATAAAGTGCATTGAAATGCGTTCCATCATTTCCTGAATTTTGTTTCGATTCGGTTTTCTTGTTTGAATTTTTTATCTTAAGTAAGCCGCATCAAAACTTGTATGTGTTGGGTAAATTGTATTAGAAACCAGTCATTTTTAGACTGACATAAGAATATTGCAGTAAATGCAATAGGACCATCAAATATAAGGTTTTAAGATTACTATTTTATTACCTGAATTACAATTAGCAATCCACTTTAAGGAAACTGCTCAATAGATCAAAAAATAAATGAAAAGAAATAAATAAAAGAAAATACCATAATTTTTCTGGAATTCATCGACACACTTCAGTAGCTATGAATTTTACTTCTTAAACATTGTCATGCTAAAGTTTTCTTTCAGTTTCTGACAAATTTATAAAATATTTTTCATCTTTTTGACGAATCAAAAAAGCTTCGGTTATAAATGGAGACGCTGTTTTGAGTTAAATTCTCGATATTGTCGTGGACCATCAACTGAATTTTGTATGCAGGAATTTTGCGTGAAGAAAAAAAAGGCGACACGTGAAACTCAGATCGGAAATTTTTGCAGCTCGCGACACGAGGAAGCGCTCAACTTTGTTGCTTGCATTCCTGCGGTCTCAGTCACCCGGCCGAGGCAGCAAGGCCGCGTCGAACACAATGAGATATCGGCCAGCTGGTAGGCGGCACCAGCTGCGAGGCTTCCGCATGTGCCATCGCTGAGACCATCTTGGCACGATATCATGGCGGCCTGCCACTGCCGNGCTGCCATGATAATCAATCCATTGCTGCTGCCGTGATAATCAATCCATTGCTGCTGCCGTGATAATCAATCCATTGCTGCTGCCACGATAATCAACTTGTTGTCAATGCTGTGGCAATCAGCTCGCTACCGCTACCGTGAAAATCAACTCGCTACTACAGCAGGCGCGCGTTCCTAGCCAAATGGAATCGCAAAGTCCCAGTTGAAAGCCATGTTAGCTGAAAGAATCGTTTTCTAGCGCCATGATTTCAGCAGAAGAATGTTTTTTTTCAATTGTGGGTAATATTACCGCATCCATAATATAATGCATTGAGTTTTCGTGCATTCTCGTCTCCAGTAGTTGTGTATGAAGGGCGGATCAAGGTACAGTGCCCGTCTCATTAGTACCTGTCGTAGTACTACTATGTTTTATTGTTGACGCTCATCATCTGATTTTGTACGAGTCAATCGGTAAGAGGAAACCTGTGGTGAACCTCGATGATAGCGCGGCTACGCTCGAAGGTTTGAATCTCTTTGCCGCCATGGCAAACTTCCATCACAGCGTGGCTACCCCTAAGAGGATGAATCACTTCGCCGCCATGGCCAGCTCCCATGTCAGCGCGGCTACCTCCCGGGAGGATGAATCACCTCGCTCCCATGACAAACCTTCATGAGAGTGCTGAAACGTTTTTGGGTACGAATCACTTCACCGCCATTGCAATCCTCCATGACATCGCGTCGCGGCTACTTCTAAGAGGGTGAATCACTTCACCATCGCCTACTCCGACTTCTTTTCTTAGGGATGACCTTGCAGGCCTGGCCGCCTGCCACCTGCGCCTGTCGGTCGCAGGTGAACAATTGTTGTAGGTGCGAGGCCTTTGAATACGCCAAGTACGCGATTAATGATAATAACTTGAGAACAGACATTACGTTCAATGATACCCTAACACCCCCGTTCAACACATCCCGACTGCAACAATCACTGCACTTAAGGAAATTATCTTTCGGCGTATATTTTTAGCGCATTTTCTCATTTATGCAAAAAATGCACTATTGTGCTCGCTGTAGAATCTTTCGTAGTTACGAAGGATTTTGAAAACGCGACTTCTTATTACTTTCATATTAAAATCGGTTTCTGAAACAAAACGGATAAAATTACCTCCAAGGGAACCGGAAGCGCCTCTCTGAGAAATGTAGGACCACTGTTCCAAAGCTCACTGGTGGACAATTCACTTGCCGTACAACCTCGGCTAATAATATCGGCGGGGTTGTTTGTTGACGACACGTGGTTCCAATCTGTCGGAGATGTATGGCACCTAATGAAAGAAATACGGTTGCTCACAAAACGATGGAACCGCTTGGTCTCGTTCTTGATGTAGCCGAGAACTGTCATCGAGTCTGACCAAAAATAACACCTTTCGAATGAAATTTGAGACTCCCTTTTCAGTACGCAAGCCATTTCTACGCCCAACTTGGCACTGCTGAGTTCGATCCTAGGTATGGTTCTTAGGGTATTCCTATTCAAGGGCGTTAAGCGTGACTTAGCAAACAAAGGTGGACTTACTTCCACTTCACGTGATGAAACGAATCTTGCGTAGGCAACGGCTCCATAGGCCATTTCACTTCCGTCACAAAATACATGAAGTTCGACTGATTCTGCCTCGCCTGTGGTGATCCTTGGGGTTCTAATACATCTCGGGATCTTGATCAAGTTCAATTCTTTGATGCCGTCTAACCACTTCACCCAAGCATTGTGCAAGATGGGAGGCAGCACGTCGTCCCAGGCCAACTTGAGGCGGCAACACTCCTGGAATATTTTCCTGCCTCTGACTATAGTGGGTGACGCAACGCCCAAGGGGTCGTATATTGATGCAACAATGCTCAAGACATCTCGACGAGTCGCCCCTCGGCCAAGCCGGTCGAAATTGTACATTAAAACGTCTCCCTGGGTGTTCCAGGCGAGACCCAAAGTCTTGCTATTTGGTGCATGTCCGGTTATTTCATGAACAGGTCCGACAACGCTCGACTCTCCGACGCCAAGAACCAAATGCACGAGCTCCTTAGAATTGGCACAAAATCCGGTCAACTTGAAGCCTCCCTGCGAAAGGACCCTCCCGATGTTCCTATACAAGGTTGCCGCTTCTTGCACCCCTTCGACTGATTTAAGAACATCGTCCACGTAAAAGTTGTTGAAAATCGCACTTTTCGTTCGCGGGTCAGTTGAAAAGTCGACGGCGGCTTGTCTCAGGGCAAAATTGGCAACACTCGGCGAACTACGAGCACCAAATACATGGACTTTAAGCCGATACTCTGAAACCGAACCGGTCGAATCATCGATCCATAGAAATCTTAAAAAGTTTGCCTGCTTCGAAGGCACTTGGACCTGATAAAACATTTGTTCAATGTCTGCAGTAAATGCACAATAACTTTCCCTGAAGCGTAGAAGGACGCCAGTCAAATTATTTGTCAAATCTGGACCTTGAATCAACTTTTCATTCAAAGACACTCCATTGAATTTCAAAGAACAGTCAAAAACCACTCTAATTTTTTTCTTCGTTTTATGGTACACAGCATGGTGGGTCAAGTACCATACCTTACCGTCAAGAACCACGATATCATCTTCGGGTACTTTCTCAATATAACCCTTTTCCAACAATCCATTCATGAAGGTTGTGTAGTCGTTCGCAAATCGTTCGTCCTTCCGGAATTTCCTTAGCAAAGACGCAAACCTTGCCTCGACCTGTCTTCTATTCAGCGGGAACGAAACGTTGTCGTCGTAGAACGGCAACGCGATCTCATAATTTCCATTCGAAGTCCGTCGTAAACTGGTTTTAACCTTATTGAGCCATCTTTCGTCTTCGACCGACGTTGTGGGCTGGTCGTCCGGCTCGAAGTAATCGTGCGAAAAGAAGCGTTCGATGTCCGCTTCTAGGTTTTGAATATTCAACCACGACCGCTTGCAACGCGCTCCCTGCTGACGTCCTGCAATTGGACCGTTGAACGCCCAACCGAGCCAGTGAAGCGATGCAAACGGTTGCTCCCACTCGCCACTAACCGTTGAGTAGGTCTTAATGAGACCAGGCGAGTTCATGCCTATCAGGACGCCAACATCGACGGTCACAAAATCGAATGGCACATCTTCCAAATAAGGCAAATTTTCGACGTCTTTGTAGGTGGGAATATCGTCTCTTGAAAAAGGCCAGCTTTCTGAAGGCTTCGTAAACAGAATGGGAATCGACGTTAATTTACTGTCATCTAGCGGAGAGATCTCCAAATGGGTCAAAATAGCAGTCGTCAATTCCTTCTTCACGTTTTCCATGGTGCTCAAAAAAACCTTTGTGGGGCGAGTACCGGCACCCAACTGTTCAATTAGATCGTCCCTAATCCAGCTATCCGATGAATGGCTGTCGAGAGCGACGTTCACCGTGATAAATTGACCATTTCGAATCCTAATTTTAGCGGCAATTATTGGACACATAACGCGGCCTTTAATCCCACCGGCCCCACCGACGAAACTTGCCCTGGCTGAAGTAGAGGAGCGATCGCTTTCCCCGGATACGTCTAACTCCGACGGAATATCAGACTTAGCTTCGGACCCACTCCCCGGTTCAGCGGAGAGGGGAACCCTCTCGACCATTCGAAGCGTCGGGTCATGCATGATAGTTGGATGCCTCCCGCGACATAACGCACAAGATCTTCTGTTCTTGCAAAATTTCGACGTATGACCTCGTCGAAGACATCCGAAACAAAGATTGTGCTTCTTGACGAACTCCGATTTTTCCTTAAAGGATCTGGACTTGAAACTTGAACACTGTTCCAAGGAATGATTTGCACCTTCACAGTAATCACAGTGCACCGAAATCTTCGCGTCATGGAGCATCGTGGCGTTGACCTTGGTTTTATTACCCTTGTCCTTCGTTGTGGTTCGGGGATCGGTAATCTGTCCGAACAGGGGTTGTTTCAAAAGGGCAACCTCTTCACGAATGAAGTTAACGAGATCGCCGAAGTGCACATTTTGGGCGTTCTTCTGCTTCTGATAAGCCTTACGACGCCACTGCTCCCTGGTCTTGTAAGGTAACTTCTGAATAATGTTCATTATTTCTACAGGGCTGTTCAGAGGGTTGCTCGGGGAAGCAGATTCGAGATAACTCTGGCATCGAAGCAAGTAAATGGAGAGATCTTGTAATGCTCCGACATCCTCGCCCTTTATCTGAGGCCACTTATTCAAGCGTTCCAAGTATTCGTGCGCAATTTTAAACTCATTCCCGAATTCTTCTTTAAGCAGAGTTCTGGCCTGCCGGTAAGCAATGTCGGGATCGTCATTGATGCAACTTTTCACCAACTTCTGTGCTTCGCCCGCTGTAAATTGCTCTAGGTATGATAGTCTGTCCGCAGGATCGGAGCATCTCGTTTCTATCATTTTATCGAACTTACGCAGAAACACATTGAATTCTGTTGCGTCAGATCCATCGAAGGATTGCAGTTCACGCTTGGGCAAGAAGCTTTGTTGCTGATTAATAATCAAATTGCTCGAGATCTCGTTCTGTCTCGTAAGAACGTGAAGAAGGGAGTCACTTTGCGCATTGGGAAGAACGACCTCCGAATCTCGCGCTGCAACGCCATGGGTGGCTCCACCAACGTCGTATATCGAATGAACTGATGAGCGTCGATCGTACGAGGAGCTGCTCCTTTCGATTTTATCGAGTTCAGCTTCTAAAACCTGGTTTTCGATTTCAGCGCGTTCAACCTCAACTCTCCTCTTGAAATCCTGCAATCTTGCCTGTTCGCGTTTTAGGGCCAGTTCCTCACACTCCAGAGCTTTCGCTTTTTCGAGAAGTTGCTTATCGGCGATAGTCTTTGCCTTCTTTTCTGCCAGGCGGATTCGTGCTGATGACGTACTCGACGCAGACGTATGATGAGAACGGACCGAGCGTGAAGACCTTGCTTCGGTTCGACTTGCGCAATCCACCTCCCTATGAGAAGCAAAAAGCCCTTCGATGCGATCACGGAATGAATCGATCCGTTTTTTGTGAGGATGGACCCATTCACCAAGCTCCTGGCTGTCACAAGATTCCAGTAGATTGTCGACTTTAACGAGATATTCAGTATAAAGCTTCCTAATCAGTTCGAGGTCAAGAGTTTGGTTGGACAGCAACTCCTCTACTTCGTTCCTTTTCTTCGTCACCGCACTAAGCTTAGCTGACGGAAGTTTGACGTCACCGCGAGGTGGGGTACGATGCATGGCTAGTTCAGTTGACTTTGTTATCCAGTCGTTTACTTATTTGAAACTGTAGAATCTTTCGTAGTTACGAAGGATTTTGAAAACGCGACTTCTTATTACTTTCATATTAAAATCGGTTTCTGAAACAAAACGGATAAAATTAGAATAAACTAGTATTGCACATATGATAATTAAGCTGAGTAAAACATTTTATTTCGATCATAAGCACATCAAGACGTAAAATCACGTAAATACAAGAACACAAGTCGTCAGTAAAACACGTACCAAATATTTCCCTCGACCAGGTAAATCGAGAGCCAGCATCGAACTGAATCCTATCCGTAAATTAAAATCGACTACGGTTCTGCTGCGTACGATACACACGCACCAGGCGGACAATATTTTTAAAGGAACCTTATATTTAATACTCGCCATGTCCGTCCGTCCGTCTGTCTGTCTGTCCGTCGGTCCGTCCGTCTGTCCGTGACCTCAAGTTTTCGTCGACGAGAAAATGCGCTCTCTGTCACTCACTGCAGTGAGTACTGAGTTATATTTTTAACCTTCGCAACTTATTTTTCATGCATGAATTAAAATAGAATTTAAACGATAAATTTCACGCTTTGGCTATTGCCCTAAATAGTGTGATGTTTCTCCTTGTCTCATATTTTTTACGAAGCCACCGTGACAACCCAAAACAATGGTGTGAAAAAGTTTGACGTTCTTCGTGACAGGAATATCGTTGCCTCGATGTGGCTTCGTTTGCTGGTTAATTTTTCAGTGCGTGACACATTATGGCGGTAGTTTGGCAATGCCCTCAATAGCGTGGCAGGAGTCGATGACTAATACAGTAAACCGCACACAAGACGCATTCCCAACTGTTGCTACTCCTTTTCTAACTGCTACTCCTCTGCTGCTACTGCTACTTCAACTGCAACTCGTTTGTTGCTCCTGCTACTCTACTACTAACTCCTATTTTTCTACTGCTAACTGCTACTTCTTTACTGCTAGTTCTACTTTCGCCTCTACTACTACTGCTATTGCTACTACCGCTGCTGCCGCTGCTGCTGCCTCTGCTGCTTCACTTGTTGCTATTGCTGCTGGTACTGCCACTGGTACTCTCGCTGCTGCTACTTGTACTATCACTGATACTCCCACTGCTGCTGAACCAGATGCTACAGTTGTTGATCGGTCCACAGACTATCCTGCTACTGCTGCAGCACATCCTACGCCTGCCGTACTCCTGCTATTTATTCTTTCAACCTTGTAACTGCAACTACTTCACATGCCACTACTATACTGCAACTTTTGCCGACCCTGTTCAATGGTGTGCTCATGCAACTGCTGCTGCCATACATGCTGCTACAGCTGCTGCGGCTGGCACAACTGCTATAAGAACAAACAAGACGGGGAGCGATTTTTTGCGCGACCAAATATAGAGTTTTTGATCTGAACATAGCCACCTAAGCAATTTAACAGAAAATGAAATGACACACAGAACGCGCTGCATGCTTCGTCCTTTTCTTGTGGTTTTCCATGTTGCCCGGTCCTTCTGCTTTTCCTGCAAACTTGTTACGTGGTTCTTTTGCTCCCTCACAGAGGTGTGCGAGAGGAAGAGGTGTTAATTGGTTCTGTTGTCATCTACTCCTTTCAAGAGATGTTATGTATAGCTATATACTCCTTCAAATAGGCGTTGCATGTTATCTACTCTCTCGAATATATGTTGCGTGTTGTCAGCTACTCTCTCCAAGATATGTTGCGTGTTGTTATTGCTACTCTCTCGAAGATATGTTGCATGTTGTTTGCTACTCCCTCGAAGATATATGTTGCGTGTTGATAGCTACTCCATCGAAGATATGTTGCGTTTTTCCAGCTACTCTCTTCTGAAAAATTATTAGATTGCAGTTCCACCACGACCGCGAAATCCACCACGACCTTCTGGTGTCTTTCTCGAGATATATTTCAGATACTCTGAGCTATGATAGAGGAATCTGAAACTGCCGCGGGACATGCAATCAGGCCTGCTAGAAATATTTTCTCATAAATATAAGCAACTATTGAACTGGGAGTTCAATTTCACTCAGTTTTTAGAAGCGACAGCTAGTAACACCTGCGCTGAGTAATAAATTGGCGAGAGCACATTGCATTTTTCCTTCAGACTCGAAGAAAAGAATACTATTCATTAAGCGACGCAATGGGCAGCGTTTTGTGCAAATTTGTATCCGCAAAGATTTCTCATTTAACGTTCACACTGGGGTTGCTTTGGGTTGCGAAGATCAAGATCCTAGACTTAGAGGAAAGCAAAGTTTTGTCGGCAGTATATGCGATAATTCCTTATTGCGTGCTTAGCGTCAATCCAACCCAATCAGGAACGCAATGCTACTTGCAGGTGGCTGATGAATGAACGACAATTTGCCGGCCGGCGATATGACGGCCGTAATTTCAGTAGTGCGTGGATGACATCAACAAGATCGCTCTACCATGCACGGCGCGTGGTGCATCCATCATCTTTTACCTGCTGGGCTCACGAGCTCATTTGTCAACAATGCGACTTGGGTTTGGAGTTTGCCACGATGAAGACGACGATACTCACAAACTTGGGTTCAAACAGTCTGAGAGGTATCTATGGTATGCGATGAGATGAGTTATCTGAAGTACGCTGATGAATGTTGAATATTATTATGGAGTGGAGGAGTTATCCGCTAATGAGTCATCAGGTGAATGTGAGGAGTAATCCGTCATATGCTGATGAGTAAGCAGATGAATGTGAGTGAGAAGTTATCTGACATACGCTGATGAGTAAGCATGCGGCGCAAAATTATTTAAATACTCCTTGAAAATGAGTTAGGTATACATTTATACTCAACCTGCCAAAACGGTTTTCTCGTTTTTTTTTAATGTTATCAAATGCATATAATAATTATCGCACAAAACGTTTAGCGGTCATAATGATAACCAATAACTTTCATTGAGTTATCTTTAAGTGGAAATATTAGCCGAACTAATCTTTTCTCTTTCCAATTAATATTTTCTAAAACAAGAAGATTCCTCACCGAGCTGATTTATATCGTGGAAACGCACGTCAAAACAAGGTAAAAAGTAGTAAAAAAATTCGGTCTTATAAATTTATTATCGTCCTAGGTCGAGACATATAGCAAAATTATTTATTAGCATCTCATTATAGCGAGGAATTTTCTATTAGATTTTTAGCTCCTGACTAGATGGACGAAGGCGTGAGGCCGCCGCTTGAGTCGTAGACCGTAGATGCCAACGAGTAAAATTAGACCTGACGTCGACCTGCACAACGCATGACTCATGCAAAGCATTTGAATTTCACATCTCCACACGTGCATGTCGTTTTCTCATAATGAATAAATGAATAACTTGGTTATTTATAACTGATGAGTAAAAACTCAAAACGGCCTCTGACCACATCCTAAAGGTGGTCAGCAGTTGTTGGAAAACTGCAAAACACCATCCCTACTCCTCGTACTCCTCGTAAAAATATTTTTGCCAGCATTCATGCAATAATATTTTGACAGGAAGAAGAAAATTTTAATCACCACTCGTTAGTGAAGCTCAAAAAGCTCAACAGTCTGCTACCACGAACAGTAGCTACGTGAGTCTGTTGATAAGGTTAGTCCAACAGTCAGCAGCCACTTACAGTAGCTACGTGTGTCTGTTGATGAGGTTAGTCCAACAGTCAGCAGCCACTTACAGTAGCTACGTGAGTCTGTTGAAGAGGTTAGCCCAACAGTCAGCAGCCACTTACAGTAGCTACGTGTGCACTGTTGAAGAGGTTAGCCAACAGTCAGCAGCCACTTACATTAGCTACGTGTGTCTGTTGATGAGGTTAGTCCAACAGTCAGCAGCCACTTACAGTAGCTACGTGTGTACTGTTGAGGTTAGCCCAACAGTCGGCAGCCACTTACAGTAGCTACGTGAGTCAATTGATGAGGTTAGCCCAACAGTCAGCAGCCACTTACAGTAGCTACGTGAGTCTGTTGATGAGGTTAGTCCAACAGTCAGCAGCCACTTACAGTAGCTACGTGTGTCTTTTGATGAGGTTAGTCCAAGAGTCAGCTGCCACTTAAAGTAGCTACGTGAATTTCTGTTGAAGAGGTTAGTTCAACCGTCAGCTGCCACTTACAGTAGCTACGTGTGTCTGTTGATGAGGTTAGCCCAACCGTCAGCTGCCACTTATAGTAGCTACGTGAGTCTGTTGAAGAGGTTAGTTCAACATTCATCTGCCACTACCATTAGAGAAGTTAGCGTAGCAGCAAGCCGTCACTAAAATTAAGATAAACATGTGTATGTTGAAAGCTCATATCATGGCTTCATGTTTGCGATACATACGACTCAACGAAATATCGTACTGTAGAATTCGTGTTTTCATGATACTTGAACTAAGAAAAGAGAAAAAATATCAAAAGGTGCTCATTACCGTCACTGATGGCCTGGTGGAATCACGTTTCTACGATGCGTTATAGTACAGTAAGTGCCATTTTGATATGAAGAAAAAACAAATACATTGATGTCAAAAATAAGTTATTCACATGCAATGCCATACGTAACTCTATTTTTCTACATAATATCCATTAATATTGCGAGACTTATCGTATCTTGGGACCAGCTCTTGAATGCCGCCATTAAATAAGCTTGCCGCTTGATTAAACAACGTGACTAGACAATTTCGTAAAGAACACTTCTTGACAGCATGAAACTTATATGTTGCATGCCGGAGGCCAGCTTTGCCCAGTTTCATAATTGTTCTATTTTCCGTGAGTAAGCACACTAGAGGTCATAGCAGTCTATGAAGCCAATTGCTTAAATATAAAGCACTGTTAGCCGTATATGCTACTAATTGTCCACAGCCATCGCTTACGCATGCGCAAGTTCAGCAGGGTCATGCTGCATGTGATCAAATCTACTCCGGCCCAACCTCTTCTGGCCTAACTTACACACGTTGCAACATTACTCTAACCAATACAAACCTATGTGTACCTAACGTAATTGCATTGGCTGCATGAAGTTAGAGATAAGAGGCAAATGAGCAGTTAGAGCCAGTCATTGGCTGCAAGAAAGTTGTGAGCCGGGGTAGCATGAAGAGGTTAGACCAGAAGAGGTTAAGCCGGAGCAGGTGAGGCCAGACGCTAGCTGAACTGCCTGCTTATGGTCGAGCATGTTCAACTGTTGGCTGATGATCTACGGTGCTATTATCTGTAAACAATTCGTCATTCGTCTGGATAACGATGTTTCAGCATAGTCTGCGGTCTTTAGCTCCGTGGCTGGGTTAAGTTATTTGCACACTGAAGCTGGTCGTTAGCTCCAAGACTTATTTAGAAGCTAAATGGTGGCCCACGGCAAAAACAAGACTTCTCAGCAAGTACGGAATCGTGAATCGTTTAATTCTCTTTCACTTTACAGTCCACTTTTTGAATGAGATCATCAATAATAACTGAAGATCTCCCACTTCGTTTCTCATCACGCACTTTTGTGCGGACAGCTTTAAAGGCCTTACCCCATTTACACACCATTCTATCACTTACAATATTTTTCTCATACACTTCACTGATTTGGCTATTAATGTCAACAGAGTTGACGCCTTTCACACAGAGAAATCGTATTGCGGCACGCACTTCGAATTTCGAGGGATTCTCATGTATAAATATTTTAAAATCACGTAAAGAAATGTAGACTACATCGGATGGTTCCGTAATGGCGTCTGTGTCCAACAGATGTAGTTACATGGAGCACATTCGCTAAACGTCGGCCACAGCGCTGCGTAATTTTAATATGGTATATTTACTATATAAACATCCCTCCTATTTCGACCCAAATGGACGAAATTTAAGAACCAGCGTAGAGTTCAGCATACGAAAACAATTATCGCCCTTTTATCAAACGAAGAAATTGGATTTAGAGAAGTTGCTCCCGAAATTTTTGAATTTAAAATGGCTGATGCTCAATAATATGTCACTTTGTTACGATTTACTGGAGCAATTTGTTTTAACATCATCTCTGTTTCTGATGCAAAAGTAAGCTAGTATTTAACGGAAGAATATTCAAGATTTTGATCTTAAAAACACTCAACCGCACAGTTGTATGGGAGAATTCGGAATAAGGCGTTTCTAATTACATTCAGCAAAGCCACTGTTCAGCTGAGCAAATGAGTGAGTAAAATGACAACATCATCTCGTTCCTGGGCTCAGTGTTTTGAAATTTATGTGTTGCGGGTTCTACGGAACGCGACATTTTTGACCTTAAGTTATGAGTTTTAGAAACAGCCTTTTGACCTCATGATGCTCGTGCACAATAGTGGAGAAAATTTTGGATTTCGTTTTACGAAGAATGAAAAATAAAACTTGAGATGACAGGTGCAAGTAAGCAACATCAATTGACGATAAGGCTGCTGGTGCAAAGGCCTTGGGCTGGGATCTCGGAGTGAGATGACGTGTTTTTTCACTGCAATTTTTTCGCACTTCACTGCATTGTAAATCAACTATGCCGAGTTTCACTTCCACCATACACAAATTATTATTTATAACTGAGAAAATTCTGGTTAAACGCGTATTTTCCATCAATAAGATGAGGAATCTCTTTCTGGCAGCACTTCATGAATGTTTTTTTTGTGTGAACGAAACAGAGAGACCACGGAGGGCGTGGACGTCGAAGAGTGTGGAAGGAAGGGCAGTGGTCGAGTGGCAGAGAAGGGAGGGAGGCTGGAGTGGCAGACTGTGGGCGTCGTGGCAGGGTCTGAGCTATTCTCAGACGATGCACACGAAGGTATTTTGAGCAGCCGCTCGAGCAAGGGGGCGGTGCGAACTGCCAAAAAGTCAGCGGCGTGCGGTTGAGTGCTCAGTCGCATCAAGCCGAGTCGAAAGGAGGTAGTAGCCAGCAGCCCTGAGCGGAAAGCCACTTACTTCTTAGGCCTTTCCCTAACTTAAGGTAAAGAATACTGCTGCTGCATTATTAGTGTGCCCGAGTTGTGCTCCAGTGTGGAGTGGTTTCAGGAAGTTTTTTTCATCGGCTTCCCTTGCGGATTTAATCAACTTCTCATCGCTCTCCAAACGCTTAAGTATCAATAAAATATTTCAGTTTATCAAACGACATCTCTTTTTCACAATTCAAAACTTAGAAATAATAATCTGTACAAGTAATATGAATGGCGTATCCATAGCCCTAAAATGGGCAGAACATTGCCCGATCATTCAAATACGTGGCTCTCGCCACCACGCCAATTGGCGATGTACTTCAAACAAAGTACTTCCAATTTGATCAAAATTTTAAGATATGATTGGATTTAGTTGTTATTTTCACTGTCTTGACTTCATTTTTTGCACAAAAACCAAGCAGACGATCTAAATAATACGTACATTTTTAAAACTTAAGTTTGGCTTCCGCTTGGATTTTATTCTCTCTGATGTGCTTTCTTCAAAAGATTTAAGCTTTGTTAGGGGTTCACAGTCCTGAGTAATTGACGCTCACACAAATAAAGCAAAATTGCCTAGCCATATAATGTCATCATGAGGACCTGCTGATCTCATATTAATCTCTTTTATCCACTAATTATCGTAATGGTGCCCAAATAAGAACTAATTTGTATGTTGTAATTTAGATGTTTAAGCTGCCGCATGCAGCGTGGGAGGAGACCTACGCTGGCAAGCAGCCAGGCTGAAATCTAATCTCTTATTGCAGAGCCGGCTTGGCTGGTGACATTTCCACTCAACTACATTTCATAAGCATTCAATAACCAAAATAAATTTCATTCTGACTTCAAGTTTTGTCTGCTATATTTGTGCCCGTATCCGCAGAACCTAACAGTTCTGGGTGAACTGGTACTGAAGGCGACCCGTGAAACCTATTTGCGGTAAAATTTGTAGTTTTTCTGACACGAAATCTTAAATTTAATAATAAATTAATATCAATTTAACATCGTATAATCTAAAAATTTTTATTTTTTCTTATAGCGAAAAATCAAATTTACATTTAATTACTATTACCGAATTCTGCTAATGAATTTTATTAAACTCGCCTAGTAGAGGCATTGGGTTCACTCGGGTGTCTCTTACGTTATTGAATAATTATGATTTCACCTCAATTAAACTAATGCTTTTTCTACGAAAATTTAAAGCTCTTACATTTATCTCATACTGAGGAATAAATAGTTCATGGCGACTTTTAAATCTGTCTAGAAAATCGACCAAAGAGACATTAGTAGAAAAATTAATATTATTAATTAAAAACCCTCGTGCACTAATGAAGACTTTATATTGAATACAATTTTTGAAGACTTTACCCACAATTGATCATCATTGACATAATCTTTAACATACTATTTGGAAATATGCTGCACGGCCTGTGTCTATCATTCGTAATAATTGAACTGATTTTCTCATTCACATGTGGCTGTTGAAACCCCAGTTTTCATCGAAGTTTTCAATGTTCCGCCAAATTCACAATCTTGCTTCATTTTCATTTAGTTATCAGCGGATCATTAGCAATGGAAACTTGATAATCCATCCAAGCCTCTGTGTTTGTATTGCTCTTCTCTTGTAATTGGATTGGAATTTTTTCCAAAAATTCCAATATTTTTTGATCTTGGAATTTTTATTGATCTTGGAATTTTAGCTTGTCTTGGGAGTGCATTCTTCACCGTTGTCATCCGAGCCTTGATGGCCGACGAAAAAATCAATAAATATATATCTGATCCTCACAAACTTTTCGTATATTTGGTTCCTCATCGTATGAACTATTAAAAATTCTATTGACAGAGTAAAAAGCTAGAAAGTTGTGAACTGGTTGAAATCGGCAAGGTTTTTTTGGTGGTTAAGAATCGGCTACAGGCCACCTTTGCATTACTGAACAGCTGCCACCACTACATTGGCATTCTGAAAAGCTGCCACCACCACTAAAAGCTGTCAATTATTAAATATAAAATTCCGATGCAGTAAAGTTTTCTGTGTTTGTGTTTTGCAGACCACAAAAACCGCCGCGATGCCTTTCAAGCCCGCTGCTCAGATCAAGTGCCCGAGGTGTGCGAAGTCGGTGTATGCAGCTGAGGCGAGGAAGGTTGGCGATGATCTCTCTTTCCACAAAGAATGTTTTAAGTGCAGTGAGTATCTCATCCTTCAGTTGATTCCACTTTTGCAAGACTGAAATGTGCAAAAGATTCGATTAATAAAACTCTCAACATAAAACAGAAGAAAAATAGAACCCTTAAGCCCTTTTCGGAACTTTACATTAGATATTTTTCTTGTGGCGTATAAAATATCAAGTGTTACTGTTTTTTATATGTAAGTTTCGTAACTTTTGCAAAGTAATAATACTCAATTTTTATATAAATCTCAGCTCATGAGCAATATGTTTATGTATGCAAGGCATGTGCAACAAGATGCTCGACTCGACCAACCTGAACTGCCACGAGACCGTTCTCTACTGCAAGACCTGCCACGGTCGCAAGTTCGGGCCCAAGGGCTACGGCTTCGGCGGAGGAGCTGCTGGCCTCAGCATGGACACTGGAGCTCATTTGGAGTAAGTCCTTCAAGATAATCTTGTACACTTCAGCATTCTGTATGCCACTATCAATTGCCTCTTTTCTGTGCCTTCTTAATGGCAAATCGTAAGTTCAATCATACATTTAAACTTTCTATACTCAGGGAACACGTCTTTTTAAGTTCAATAGTTAGCATTTCCATTAACTTTATTTATTCTCATTTCCTTTGGGGCCGAAAATTTGATTCTCCACAGTTGAGATTTTTTCAAACTAACATTAGCGGCATAGTAGCCAGTTCAATTCAGTGTCAAACGTAAGCCATAAATCGGCCGTAGGATCTTTCTTAAGCTGACGTAGTCTACCGATTCTAAAGCAAATCAAACGAATAGAAATGAAATTGTTTTTATTTTTTATACTTTTTAATAACTTCAAACAGTAGGTTTTTTTTAGCAGAAAAATTCGTATCTTCTCTACCGTACCATACCAAATTATCTCGTAATTCCGCCATTTTTTCCTTAATTAAGTACTGTCCGTGGCGATACTCGCCCCCCGTGACAAACTCTAAGTATTTTTCTTTACTAACAAACGAAGTGCGTGTCGCGGCTCTCCCATTGGCTGCATTCACATGACGTCACGTGACTGCTTCTAAACAAGGCATTGTGGAACGTGTTGTTCGAGGTCCTCTCTCTCTCTCTCTCTTTCTCCTCCATCTCTCTCTCTCTCTCTCTCTGTCAATTTCTCTATTACTCTTTGTTTGGTTCGACCTTTTATCATCTCCTAAAATTTATTTAAATCCCTCTATTACAGAGGTTAGAGGGCACTCATGAAATACAGTCAAATAGGCAATAATTTGAAAATATGTGAAATTATGAGGAAATATTTTTTTGTTACGCTAGTATGATTATCTTAGTTTCGCGCCAGCTTCTCAATTGGTTCGGTTACATTCATTTATTTACCTAACGTTTATCACGTAATTCTGCTGTACTAAACACGCAGTTTCCACTTTCATTTAATGCGTCTGATTTTGCTGCGGTTTTATTTTGTTTGCGTGCGCACGCTGAACGCGAGTCAGACGTGCTGCTTCTCGAACGCTGCCGCTTCTTTCCTGGGTTTTGATAATTTTAATTTAAACGTTGAGCCTCATTGAATGTTGACCGCCCGTGCAGCAAGGAAGAGTAATCAGTTCTCTTCAACACCGAAAAAGAAAAGTCCTACCGCTTGGGAAGCTGACGCGCCAGCTATCGTTATAAGCTCACTACAAGCGGCAAACCTTGGACTGATTTCTCCCCTTCTCCTCTCCGCAGAAAACAGTAGACTCTCCTCTTCCTCTACTCATTGCTCTTAAATTTAAGATCTTTTTATTCATGGTGAATTCAATACGTTATCACGTTCTCATTAACTTATTCGGTACCGCTTGAGATGCTCAAATGCGGCGTCTAGACGCATGCGACGCCGCGGCTCGTTTGCTACACAGCTACCAACTGTCTCTGTCGGATGGCTTAAATCATTGCTCATTGTGTATTGTTCATTTCATGTCATTGTTAGTGTCGTTGGTGCCTGACTAACTGGCCTTGACTACAGCCACTGCCATTCCACGTAAGACTGTCAGTCTAGGTCACTGCTGCTGCTCTTAATAAATGCTTCCGCAGCTCACTAACCCTGTGGGTGGCAAATGATCTTATTTTAGAAAATTTATGCTCAATTCCATAATTTGGAGAGGAAACGATGCTTTATAATTTACTAAACAAATGAGATGTGTTAACCCGAACATTCATTAATGATCTTATTATGCTAACTTTAACGTTCTCCATCGTTCAGACTCTCACTCCCCGAGCAACAATAAAATTTACGTAGCTAAAGTCGGGTCAAAATAAAACCCTGAACTCGATATGCAAGGGTTTTTGAGACAATAGGAGCTTCTAAGTCAGTTAGCAGAGTCGCGAAAATTCCATTAATTAATCGTTAGATCAAGAAAGCTTTAAAAGAGATCCATGATTTGGTTTCTCTGTCACCCACTACGCTTATTACTTTTAGTTCAGTTCTTTCTGCTCCGCAAGTATGCTATTTTATTTTGCTAATAGACTTAACTATTTTTGCTATGCTACCATACCATATTGAATTCTTTGTGGAATATCTTTTATAAAATATATACCATAGAGAATCTTTGGGTTTCATTGTCAGCCTACAAAGTAGGGTCGCTGCGAGAGCACTCGTAAAGGTTCCAATAATCGAAAGAGGTGGACGCCTCTTTCCCATCCTTCCCTCGTTGTTCTTCCTTTTGCGTCAAACCTTCTAACATTTTTTACATACCGCAATGATCAGTAAGGTGGAAAAGTAACAAATTGTCGCCCTCTCTTCACACTTGAAAGTTACTGTATACCGTCTGACAGCTTCGTTGATACTGTATAATTAATGTAGGTTCACGAGAAGCCCTCTAACCTCTGTACGCCGTTGTAGCTTGGTATCTTCTCATTCTGTTGTCTTTTTCCGTCGTTCTTCCACACTATGGTTAAGAAAGAGAGCGACTTTAACAACTCGTTCCCGGCCTGTCAGTCAGCAATGTCCAAAGTAACTAGTGATGAGAACAGCGATTTCTTTGTTACCTTTCCACCTTCGAGAAGCCCACAGAAAAAAGTTCGGGTGCGGTCATTACTATAACTGATGTGAAAAAATATTATGCATCAAAGAAGCATCTCGAATCCCAGTGTACAACATGACGTTTGATGGAACACACCGGTTAAGGTGCACGATAAATCGTAAATCCTTCGTTTGAGATTAAATGAGACTCATCAGTGTCAGACTCATCTACTTAAGAATTTATCAATTATGCTCTGCATCACTACACGCTTTAGAGTAGCTTGTGTATATGAAAGCTGTGCAGCTCAGCTCCCGACTAAGGTTAATAAATAAGGCAGCGTTGGTGGCATACAACGTACCAGAAAGAAGATGATGACATCCAGCGTAGGAGGAGGAGAAAGTGTAGGTAAATCACATACATATTAATATAGAGCACAGACATTTTAAGCTGGAACGGAACACTTTTTTTAGAAGAAATATAGTTATTTCCGTTAGGAATAAAAAGTATAAATGGATTAAACCAAGGAATCGAAAAGCATTATGTACCGAGTAGCAAGAAGATATCGCTCGCTTGACACAAACGAAACCCCAAAAGAAGATCATATCCCAGTCCATGAGTGAGACACTGTATTGTAGATTTTTAATACAATGTTGATGAGCCCAACATATAAGATCTAAGCCATCAGGATGAGCACGAGACATTGTTGATGAGCCCAACAAATGAGAGCTATGACATCATTATTACCACGAGAAATTGTTGATAAGCTCAGCATATGAGAGCTATGCCATCGTTATGATCACGAGATCACGAGACATCGTTGATGAGCTCAATATATGAGAGCTACATATGACATCGTTATGACCACAAGACATCGTTGATAAGTTCAACATATGAAACTATGGCATCATTATGATCACGATAGATTGTTGATGAGCTCAACATTTGCGAGCTATATCATCAGAACTGCGGTATCACTCATAACAAAAGATTTCTGAAAATACCAACGTCACGGCATTTAAACAGGCAGAAATTTGTTCTTCCCGAACAGATGAAAATAAAATGAAAAAAATGGATCACTGATATAACTTGTAAAGCTTTACTTAATCAACGAGTAACAACAAACAAAAGATTGTTTCGCCTTTTCCTTACATATTCACATTCACTTCAAAAGAAGTTGTGTGCGTTAAACACTGCTTAAACAAATGGCTTAGAATTTCACACCTAAAATTTGAATCGGCTTTGGAGGCAAGTTTCTGAAGGTGGAAAGGAATAGCAAGAAGCGCTGAATTACATTAGGTTTACGAGACCTTATCACATATACTTTTTGAATTGAATAATGAATATATTATAATTACAAAAAAGGTCTCCGAAACCTTATGGAAAAATCTAAGTAATTGTGTGAAAAAACGCCAGGTTTTGTTTTTGATCTGAAATCAAGTCATCAAGAATTTTACATGATATCAAGAAAGAAAGTAAATATTGCGAGTATTTGAGACAAGGACAGCAGCTCGGATGGGTCGACACGCGTGCTGAGTTGCTGCTCCGTGGGCCGTCAAACGGTGAGTGCAGATACCATATTTGGTGTATAAGCCAATTTGTGAACTGTGAATGTTTTCGTGTTCATTTTTAGATAGAATGGATATCAATATGCTTACTAGGCATTACTCTTATGCGTGTGGTAAGATGAGTTAGAAATGTACATCGAGGAGGAAAATACATTGAGGTTGTTTTTCAATAAGAAAAATCGATCATGATTTATATTTTATTAAGGTTCATAGAAGAAGACAGAGCAAAATAAAGCTTCGTCACAATTAATTTCCAAATGTTCCGTATGGTGAGAGTTAGTCTTGGTCTAGCGATGTCTCCATATACGGCATCACATCGCTATACTCAGCACAATATCATACTGAGAAATATGAACATAATTTCATTATTTATTAAGTGACATCTCCGAAGCGGGAAAAATTGACATTGTTAACAGAAATGATGATAATCACTCTTTCAATCGGCAGTTTCCACCATTATTTATGAAGTTATCACGAGTGTGAAGGTCAGTAATCCACAACTCGCTTTTTCGTTGGATGAAGACTAAATTTTCATGGGCGTTCACAAGACAAATACGAGTAGCAATGCGAGATCCTGAGCGAGTTGCACGTCTTTTAGTTTGTCCTTTCAATCATAGGAATCCTGTGATTCAAGAGTCAATCATTTTTGATCAGCTTACATAACTTCGTGTTGAATTTCCATGATGGTTAAACCTTAACTAGTCCAAGGCCTTAGCTGGGGGTGTAACAAGCATTGCTCAGAACTTAGCGTGGCTTAAGACGTTTCCACTTACATATGATTATCTCATATATTTACAACTTTCTTAATGCAAATACGGAGGAATAATAGCACACCACAAGCTTAAATCCCGAAAATTGCGCACGCAGTTTCTTACACCACGCGCTCTATTGCTACTTTCCCCGCCGGTCTGATGACGTTCGCTGTTTAGAGTCAGCGAGTTGCGTGTAGTGTAAACAAGGCACATTAATAGACTCCACAAGTCAACTGGGCTAACGAGAAAACATCTTTGAAAAATATTATAGAAAAATTATTTTTTTCTTATTTTAATATGTTAAAATATCGCAGTGAATGGAGATTACACAGATACAACCTATTAACTCGAGACTGGGAAAAAGAATCTCTTTGTTCATTCAGTTAACACTCCAATTAAAGCGACATAAATAAATTTCACTTAATTATTAGGCTCCATCGTTCGAAATACGATGAAAAATGTGTAAAGTAAAACTACTTAAATAGTAGGCTTAGCTTGATGCGATATATGCGATCAAATATAGAGATCATCAGCAGCTACATTATAATTTTGCAAATTGTTGGTATCGCATGATGAGTAATTACAAGGTTTTCATTTAAGCTGAATAAAAATTGTTGCAAGATCAAAAATTTTATTGCTAAAGCAGGAGTTAAAACCCAACAATAAACGACCAAAAACTATCGTTAGCTTATATATGCTACTGAGGCGATTAAAGTATATAGAAAGAAAGTTCTCTATTACTGAACGATTGTTTCGAGTGCATGCAGTACTAAGTTATGGGAAAAATAATCGTCTTTCCCATGATTAGTTTCATTTCAGAAATATTTCTTTATAACAATACTGATGAGAAAATCACTGAAACTATAGGCATCATGGTAACGTAAATGAATTTCTTGTTTTTCAAGTTTCATACGGAACATGTCCAGATGTGAATTAAATGATGAATAGCTTGGACCTTAAAGCGATTAGCTCGGTACGATGACCCAGGTACGGAACATGGTAGCTAGTTCCCTCTAATGGTTAAACTTGGGACTGATCTCGGCAAAATTGGTACTGAACATGGTTAGATTGGCACGAAACATGACGCGCTTGGCACCTCAATGCATAATGAGTTTGTACTGAATATGGTGGGGTTAGTAAGTATTACTGAACACCGTAAGTATGGGGTTAGTACTGAACACCGTAGTTAGTACATCATGAGGTTAGCACTGAACATCGCTGGGGCTAGCGCTCAACACCATAAAATTAGGACTGAACATGGTGGGGTTAGCACTGAATATGGTGGGGTTAGCTCTGAACATCGCTGGGGTTAGCACTGAACATCGCTGGGGTTAGAGCTCAACACCATAAAATTAGGACTGAACATGGTGGGGTTAGCACTGAATATGGTGGGGTTAGCTCTGAACATCGCTGGGGTTAGTACTGAACATGGTGGGGTTAGCTCTGAACATCGCTGGAGTTAGTACTGAACATGATAGGGTTAGCACTGAACATGAGAAGGGGTTAGCACTGAACATGAGAAGGGGTTAGCACTGAACATAAGAAGGGGTTAGCACTGCAGGTGGTGGCTTTAGCACTGAACTTGATGCTCCCTGCAGCGCCCGCACGGAGGGCTATGGCTTGTCCAACTACAAGCCTCCTAAAGCGCCTCCTGGTGAAGGTTGTCCTCGGTGTGGAGGTCGGGTCTTTGCTGCCGAAGAAATGCTCGCCAAGGGCAAGGTTTGACTGAATTTTTCTCAAATGTTGTGCAATTCATTGTGATATTATGATTACAAATATTATAATTTTAAAATAGAATAAAAAACATAACTAATGACATGTAGTAAATCAAAACCAAAGCAATCAACATACGATATTGCGACTGTCGTATCGCAACGTACGATTTGTTTATTAACGAAGTTATTTGTGTGGGCGCCAGGCCTACCACAGAACTTGCTTCAACTGCAAGAGCTGCCGTAAGCCGCTGGACGCGATGCTGCATTGCGACGGCCCTGATAAGGAAGTCTACTGCAGAGGTGAGATTTAGACTTTTTCAACGATGTATGATGGTTTTGCATTTAAACGGGAAATCTATTTATCCTCACGCTCAATCAAAAAATGGGTAATTCAAGGCAAGATTTCTACAAGTCAATTAATGCGATTCTTTCGCTATATTTAGTTCAGACTTGTGCGGTAATATAGCTATATACATACATAGCTTGTATTGATTACAATCACATGTGAGTGTAATGTGTTTATGAGAGTGTTAATGTAAATGTGAGTGTTATATGTACATAGGAGTAATATGTACACATAAGTATACAATACACATGAGCCAACGTGTCAGCTCGAAGCCTAATTGTCAGTTCGTTGCCCAAGTGTCAACTCGACCATCAGTTAACTTGATCGTCAGACTTGGCGGGTGCCTTCGGCCTTGGGATATTATTTGCGGAAAATTCTCCTGTTCCGCCTCACAAATTTTCTGAACATTTTTCTCCGTGTGGCGCCGGCAGCTCGTACAATATCCCCTCACATGCGATATAAAGTTATTGAAGTCTTTATTTATTAACTAAAGCTTTTAGATTATCTTTTGCAGGATTGTAAAAATATTAAGAAATGAATCATTAAGTTGAGTTTGTTACATTTTAGTAACATTTACCACGATTATGAAAAAAGAATATGCGTGGTGGGGAGGCGGCATGCGTGGAGACTGACGAGGTTGGTAGTAGCGTGGGTGGTGATGTATGTAGCTAGTGTCGTTTGTGGTGAGGTAGTGACGTGGGTGGTGGTATAGCAGTTGATGTCACACAACCACCACAGTTTAATAAAAGATAAGCAGACTCCGGCTGCCATGCTGAGCCATGCCACTTCTGGCTGCATGCCACACCAGAGCCGCTCTGCCACATAAGCACACATTCCGCTCAGAACATCTGTACCGTACGGCACCGGTTCATGCCATTCATACCTCTGTGCAGTACCGGTTCATGCCTCTGTACAGTACCGATTCATGCCTCTGTGCAGTACCGGTTCATACCTCTATTCAGTACAGTTCATGCTTCTGTGCAGTTCCGGTTCTTGGTTCTCTCTAAATATAGCTAAGCTAATTTTCAGAGTAAATAATTAGGGCAAATATAATGACTATACAAAACTCTATGTACACTAAATACGTTCTTTTAAGTTCTACATATTAACCCATACAGACATGAGTAGCGTTTACGAAAACCTTTAGAATTTAATATGAATGAATAATAGTATGGTATCACTTTCACCACAGACAGCATGAACGAACTAACAGAATTTTTCGGATGGGCACAAATATGTGATGAATGCATTTCTCTCTGCCCTTCACACGTGCTGGCTGACTCTGTATAAAATAATATGCTAAATAAATTCTCGTTTCAGCTAGAGGGCTAGAAAGAAATTGGCACAAGCTTCGCCCTGAAAAATGACGAGCCTGCGTCAATATATATTCAAACATCTACTGAACTCAGAGAAACATTCTGAACAGAAGCCTCACGTAAGAGTGGTCGTGATTGGCTGTTGCAGTGGAGCAACATTCTACCGACGCTTCTTATTGGCTCACTAGGCGCCGTTGCTCGCTCTCTTAGTGGGACTGTATTTGGTAGCGCCACCTTACGCATCTCTTGCCCCTGTAAGGTCGAAAGAGTCACTTGTTTCCTCCTTTGATTTATCTTCTGGTTTATACAAGTGGATTTATTCGTTGTTTTCTTATACTTCTTGTTGAGCTTAAAGATTTATCTCTAATTATATCTCAATTTAATGTATCCAGGGTGATCCGAGATACTTAACTCCTGGTTGTGAATTCCGTAGACTTTTATACAACCTCTAAACTTCCCTTTTCAGAAATTATTTGCGCTTTTTTCCATCTTATAAGGTGCAGTAACAAAAAAGTTTAGGAGGAAATTTTATTATCAGTTTTATTTTAGACAATTATCATGCATTTTTTATCAATATTAAATAAATTTTATATGCATCCTAACCTCAAACCTCGACAAATACTACATACTTCAGGATAACCGTTCCTCAAAAATATTGTTTGCAAACTTTAGGCCCTGCTCTTTGTTTTAGGAAATATTCACGAAAATATCCTCCTTGAGTTTCACAAGATGTGCGCTGCCGTTACTATTGCTGCAGACACGTCGGTTCTTGGCGATGGATCAAGTTTTCTATTTAGTTCAGCTAATGATCGCCGTCACCAAAATAAACTTATCAACGCCCATATTACATCTACAACGTTTGATGATTATTCCTTATTATAAACAATCTGATTGCCTTGTTGGCCGCCTCTAACTCCAGTCATAAGGGGCGTGTCTGGGACCGGCACGATTCATCACACTCTTGTAAGGAATAAAATATCTGTGCACATAGACTACCGAGACGTAATATGAGCACAATTATGTACAGTACGAGTCATTGCACTTTAGTATTTGTATTTCATTTATGTTTAAATAACTTGAGACTAGATCAACGGGTTGCTAGAAGAAACTTGAATACTATTCATTTTTTAAGTTCATATTGTCGCAGATGTACGTGAGATGCCTTTTCTCCCGGATTTATGGCAGGACATTTAGGCTTTTTTCTTAAAAGCAGAAATTTGTTACAGATATTTAATATGCAACTGAAGCGAACATTTTTTTTAATTTCATGAATAAACTTTATTATATCGTAATTTCGGTTACCAAAAAAGTGACATTTTCTGCGGTAACCCCGTATTGCGACTTTATATTACTTAGAGGAAGAATTCACTAACTTTCCCAAGGTGCTTCATCGATGGACTACCAACACACATACGTGAGTACAGCGCGCTTGTAGAGAAGCCGTGCCAGAACAGTCTGACCTTATTTGTTTCATCTTAGGTTGCTATGCGCAAAAATTTGGTCCTCAGGGCTACGGTTTCGGCCACGGTGCAGGAACTCTCACCTCAAAGGGCAACGAATTGTAAGTTGCCACTTGGGTGAGGAACAGCGCTCGCTGTCCTACTCTCTAGCATGAGCTCCCTACATGGGCCGGTAACTCCATTGTAGCCGTGGACATGACAGTGTGTCATTCCATCCACCAATTCTTCATGCTTACAATCAACATCATCGATTCTTCATTTCCACAAAAGACAAATTTACTAATGACGACTATCACTAAGCAGCTACGTGATGATCGACCTAAAGATTCATGGCTATTAATTTCTGTCTTCTCAAAATAACTTCTGCTTTCGCTATGGCATATATCTTCAAACTAAACTTGAAATTTGCTTCAAAATTGCCTACATTATTATTAGTTTTTTTCTTTGCTTGAATCCAATTATAACTTTTATCAAGCCAAATTTCAATATAGAGAATGGATGACATCACTCGTTATGCGTTCTTCATAAGAGTGAACGTCGTGTACGGAGCTCAGGCGGGGGAGGACGAGCTTGTGTCGCATGGCTACCACGACCCGCTACGGGGAACTCTACAATTATCGTATTTTTATCCCTCTTTTGTGGCCGTCCGCATCACAGCATTACTAGTCCTGATCAACTGCTTTATCTGTCCTGATCAACAGCTCTTAATGTGTTAATAAACGGCAGGTGACAGAGACTTCGTCAGCATGTCTGTCAGCTCTGCAGTTCCACGTGCTTCTAAATATTAAGGAATGCGCTTCACGACAATAAAATTCACAATGCTGCTAATGAAACTTATAGTAACTAAGATAGCATGATGCAATTACCGCTGGTCTCTTAATTTTGGTTTCATCCAACTTTTGTTTCACGCTCATTTCTTGCCAGAGATTTTTGATCGGCATGACATTTTTGAACAGCCATTTATACGAAAGCAAGATATTCTGCATTTTCCTCAGGTCTGCATGTAATAGATCCTATTTTACAAGCAAGGCTGATCCAGCACGACCTTCTCACTTCGCTTTGAATGAATCATGCATAATTTATTGCCTAAGCATACATCATCAAACACAGCTTTTTGTATGTGTTGTCGCTCAACATGGCGATGCTTACCAGCAGCGTCCTTCATCATGAGATCGCTAAGCTACCTCGCAACCTGCTTCTTCTTCCCTTCCAGTTTGCTACAGCAAGAAGTTCGGACCGAAGGGCTATGGGTTCGGCCATGGGGCAGGCACTCTTCAGTGTGACCCTGATTCGTACGTTGTCACTTGATTTTTTCATCGCAACGAGTGAATTTCATTTCGGCAAGATAAAATAGAAATCAGTTCCTTCAGTTACTTTGATCCTTATTTCATTCTATTGGGAAAGTTTAAAGAAAAACATTTTCCCTCCATGGACTGTCGTATTTACTGTCTTATCTTATCTAATAATTGATTCTTGAATCAGACAGTTATTTTTTTATCTTTTAATTATTTCCTATTTCTTCCTCTCTAGTTCTGGTTCTGTTCGTCCTTGCTGTGGCTCTTAGTTTTACCTGCTTCCGAAGATTTGTTTGTACCGAGTTTTTAATTACATTACATTTATTCATTGATTTCCTAAGGCTGTTTTTAAACGCCTATTTCACTGTATAACAATTATTCCAGCATGTATTGTGAAATTTTTGTAACTAAACTTATATTATTTAAGATACATTTTGTTATAAATCTTACATTAAGTTACATTTTTTTATAAATCTTGTAAATGAAAGGCATAATTAATGTTACGGAGCTCTTGCAAGAGGTACATTATAACTTCCGATATTCAGGCCACACTTCCCCCCACTCTGTTAAGAGCTCAGTAGTGCTGGAAACTCATCTAAAAACTCACGATTTGTATGAGACTTATGTAGAAGACAACCTGTTACCCCAACACTGTAAATAAAATTCGTAAGCGTTTTCACGGGTAAACCATTGGAATGGAGTATAAGCGAACGTTTTGCCACATTAAACATTGTAATGTTGGCTCTGCTGCCCACCCCAGCACACCCATGGTGCGCCCCCACGGCAATCCAGACTTCGTGGTGAAGGCCAAGGATGGCGACCAAGGCTGCCCCCGCTGCGGAGGTGTCGTCTACAGCGCTGAGTGCATGATGGCCAAGGACAGGGTGAGGCCTGCTCATTCAAAGCGTTCCTCTAAATAAAATTTGCATTCTTACACTATTTTGAAATGATCTGAACTGTAAAGAAATTGCAGCACGTGAAGCTACAACGCGAATTGTAACTACGTGATACTTTTGACTTGAATTTGGTTTTGAAAACTTCTAAGTATTAAATCTCATACATAACGAATGAATGGAAAATTTTCCTGTAAAAAGTGAAAAGAATATTATAAATCGCTTGGAATATCGTCATGTACGCCGTTGAAACGTACAAAATTTATAAAAGAAGCTTCATCTCACGTAACTGAGTCATTTTTATTTAAAATTCCACTAAAAGTTTGATGAAAATACGACACATCAATGACCCCATGCAGGGCTTCCACAAGAAGTGCTTCAAGTGCCTAGTGTGCACGCGTCCATTGGACTCGATGACGCACTGCGACGGGGCAGATGGCGAGGTGTACTGCAAGCTCTGCTACGCCAAGAAGTACGGGCCCAAGGGCTACGGCTTCGCTGCTGGTGGTGGTGGCGTCCTTACTGCGGAAAACATCCCGTGAGTTGCATACTGCCGCAAAATTAGCACATTTTAATCACTCTAGCCGGAATTGGTTAAGCCGAGAAATAATGTAGCAAAATAAAACATTTTATATCAAAGCAATCAATAGAGGTATAATTTATTATTTAAGCTATCATTTCAACCTATAGAGAAAGAATTTATTGTTCAGCCTATCATTTCAATCTCTAGAGGTCGAATTCATTATTCAACCTATCGTTTCAAACAATACAGGCCGAATTTATTATTCAGCTTATCATTTTATCTATATTCCAAATTGGAAATTTGACACTCTCTCTCTTTCTTTTCAAAAGTCTGATTTAATTTTTGGTTTTGCTACTTAGGATCACATTTGAACTGCACGGAAGATACTTACATAGTGCTAAACATTTCCTACGCGTTTTCTGGTTCATTACGCCATGAACTTTATTTTTTTTAAACAGCCACTCAAATGTGTTATGGAGTAATTCAGTAAATTATCAGAAAATTATCTGTCTTCATTCTCATGAATATATTTGAGAGAGTGTATGCTACTGTGGTAATGTAGCGCCGTTCTCATAAGGATATCATGAAGCAAAAAAACGAGCACACTGCACAAGTATTTAAAAAAAATTAAGGTGAGTGATGGAATTTGTGAAATTTGATTTGTGATCGTGGGATGAAAATAATACTATCGACGACCGAAATTATAATTACACGGAAAATTCAGAATTATTTATTCGCCAGCGGCGGCGAGATAACGACCACCAAATCAGCGGCTGCGGGTGCCATCGACGTGACTTCGATCAAGGCCGCGCAGGGCGAAGGTTGCCCGCGCTGTGGCGGCAAAGTCTTCATGGCTGAGGAGATCAATGCCAGGGGCAGGGTGAGACTTCTGCATCAAGCAGAAAATATCCTTATAGCCTACGCATATATTTTTATTAAAGATTTATTCTTATTAATTATTTGATGCTACTGGATTTCTTGCACAACTTGCGCTGAATGCCTCAATTAATTGTTATGCTAAAAATATAGATAGAGTTTTTTTTACTTCTAGTATTATTTTACGATAAAATTTTGACCACAGGCGTTCCACAAGCGCTGCTACAACTGCTGCATCTGCCACCGGCCGTTGGATTCCGTGGTTGGCTGCGATTCACCCGATGGTGAAGTTTACTGCAAACTCTGCTACGCTAAGCGTTACGGACCGAAGGGCTACGGCTTTGCCGCTGGCGGTGGCGGTGTCATGGTTGCTGAGAATATTGCGTAAGATTTCTCCCCAATTGCAATGGGTTATTTAAATGTGTTTCTTACTTGCATAGATGTCGTTGAATTAATGACTTAATCCTATGGAAGTATTTTCCTCGTCTTTATGATTCTGAGTTTGCATTGAAATTTTGAATTTACAATTAACGAATTTCAGTCCGTGTGTTTCTTCATATTTCTATGGCCGGGTGACTGTAAATTCTTTCTTGATATTAATTCTTTCTTAATAATGATTCCTTGCCAAATATTTCGATTATTTCAGAATTAAATTTTCCAATGGGGCACAGTGCTTATCTGAAGCAGTTCTCTCTAATCACCAAAAACTTTAATCGCCGTTTGCACAATTGCAGCGGCAACGACGCTCTGCAGGTGCAACAAGTGTCCGACTTCGCGCGCCTCGACGTATCCAAGATACGTGCCAAGGATGGAGAAGGCTGTCCCCGCTGTGGCGGCAAAGTCTTCATGGCTGAGGAAATGCACGCTCGAGGCCGCAGCTTCCACAAGCGCTGCTACAACTGCTGCCACTGCCACAGACCCCTTGACTCAGTGTCGGGCTGTGACTCGCCCGATGGTGAGGTCTACTGCAGACTTTGCTACTCCAAAAAGTACGGCCCAAAGGGATATGGTTTCGCTGCTGGTGGAGGTGGCGTCCTCACTGCAGAGAACATTCCGTGAGTTTGATTCAGGCGATCAGCCTTGCTATAAGGGAGAGAACATAAATCAATTACAAAGTTGTTCAGGAGTAATTAAAACTCCTATTATTGACAGCAATTGATACCACGGAGACCATGATTTTTCGATAATGATTCATTTGGAATAAAGCGGTATTATTTCTTATCCTTAAAGTTCGAAATATATTGTTTCGCTCGGTGAATCTAGACACGCGTTTCATACTCTGTTATGTTGCCCATTTAGCGGTGGAGATCAAGGGCCGAGTGTGAACGTGAATCCGACGTTCGCTGCCATCGACACGACGTGCATCAAGGGCGTCGGGGAAGAAAACTGCCCTCGTTGTGGTGGTAAAGTCTTCTCCGCTGAGGAGAGGCTGTCTGGTGGTGGCATTGTGAGTTCATGTCAAACTATAATAGTAGATGTTACTTTCAACCAACATAAATAACAATATTTCTTATTTTCTAAATTAAAATGAATTATGTAATAAGTATATCGCTCGGAAAATAAATCTTAAAATATTTGTTCAAACAAATTGCACTGCTCTCATTGATTTTATTTTGCTATCTGTGTGATGAAATTGCTTAATGCCGAAATCCCAGTCATTTATCTGCTATCAGCCATTTATGTTTTTCGACAAGAATGGGTCAAAAAAGCACTAAGTTCCTGACTCTCCGTGTCACTTTGAGCTAATTATATAATAAATCTTTAAAAACAGAAATGGCACAAGCGCTGCTACAGCTGCCGTAACTGCCACAGACCTCTGGACTCGATGGTTCTCTGCGATGGTCCAGACGGCGATATCTACTGCAAGCTCTGCTACGCCAAACGCTTCGGTCCGAAGGGCTACGGTTTCGCTGTTGGGCAAGGCGGTGTGCTGGTGCCGGAGAATGTCGAGTGAGTCACGCGGTAGAAAAGTTAGAGGTAAATGTGTGCCCGCGAGATACTGCATCCATGCAAAGTGCTCGTCTGCGTCTATGCATAGTATTGCTTCAATGCATAGTGTGTTGGATCTCTTTCATTTGTTGTTTCCAATAGATGATGAAGCTCGTCGTGATCCAAATATAAGCAATGAGTTAATCTAAATTTATTATTTTTATGCGAAACTATAATTGCAGATGTAATCAAAACGCCTCTCTGATATTTATCTAGTTACGATGACAACGAAGAGGTCGTGGTGAGGTCACAGTACAGCCAGAATGCTGCCGGTGCGTTGGACGTGACTCGCATCCAGGCCAAGGATGGCCAGTCTCGATGCCCTCGCTGTGGAGGCGCTGTCTTCCAGGCCGAGGCTATTCCCGTCAGAGGAAAGGTGAGGCTTCTACAGGCAACAAATTTACTACTAGGCAAGCATAGCCTAAACTTTTGGTGTAATTTCCGTGAAGACGATTTGGAAAGTTTATTATAGATGGGACCTATGAAGAATGCAAGCTAAGCCAGCAAACCTAGCTTTACCCAAATCGATCAGACAACGTCCCCATCACTAAACATAACCATACGTTCATTCTCAGCAATGGCACAAGCCTTGCTACAACTGCTGCGAGTGCCACCGCCCTCTGGACTCGATGACGGGCAACGACGCTCCCGACGGTGAGGTGTACTGCAGACTTTGCTACGCCAAGCGTCACGGCCCTAAGGGCTACGGTTACGGTCACTGCCCCTCCCTCATCTCTCTGGGCACCGCTGATGGCACGCCCATACCGTGAGTGCCTTATCTTCCTTTTAATACACTGATGGAACAATGCTCAGACTTTAATTTTCTATCGCTCTACTTAGTTCTATACATTTTTCAAGTCCTGTCCTAGGGTCTTTCTATGGTAGTTGATGATGGCATCTGTAATACGCCCTATGGACAATGTATAATCGTAGAAATAAGGCGTATGCATTTTTTGATCGTTTTAAAAAGAATAAGCATCATTTTTGCAAAGGATAATTGCAAGCCAAGGTGAAAATATCCATTTGGTAAATCCTAGCTGGAACCTTCGAATTCAATTGAAACATTCGACACCTAATCTATTTCCCAGCGATACATATAACGCCCAACTTCATTTCCTTTTCTCAAGCTTTAAACTTTGCCAAATGTGATGTCACTATTATACATGAACATGTGTTTTTGAAGGATCTGTCACATTGTGACTCATAAACACAATTTTTCTGGTCACCCTACAACATTAGGCTAGTTTTGAATGCATTTGAATTCATATAATAAAGTTTTTAACGAGCTTAATGCTTCTGTGTCTGCAGAACCGACATTCGCCAGTTCGGTTTCGGCCCCAAGATTGCCCAAGGCTGGGTCCCACCAGGAGCCTTCCTTACCCGTGGCTCCCAGGACCGTCTGGACCAAAATGCGCAGCAGCAGACGACTACCGAAGTGTCGAAACAGACGTTGCCTGACGGGTCTCAGGTGACCAGGACCGTCACGCAGGTAATCGAGCCTCCCAGACCACTGCCCATCGGACAACAGATACCCATCCCGCGAGGCTTCAACTCGGTAAGTTTCATCTTCCTCTGTAGAAGCAACCCCTGTGCCTGGAGTCATCCCAACCAGGCAACAACCTAGTCCTGCATGTGTTTTGACACCCTGGCTCTGTGACATTGCACATCACAAAACCTTGACCTGCACACTCAGTGTTATAAAACCGTTGCTTTGAGACATTACAGCCTGGCATCAACCTTATCCAGCACACTGTGTGGCAACTCCCTTGCTCTTTGACATTCCAGACCTGGCAACATTCTTTCCCGATAACACTCCAGCCCGGCAAGAGCCATGTCTTGCACGCACTGTGTTAAAACACTCTTATCGCATAACATTTCAGGCTGTCCTCAACCTTGTCTTCCACTTTCTGTGTTGCAACTCCCTTGCAACATAACATTTCAGCCTGTCCTCAACCTTGTCTTCCACTTTCTGTGTTGCAACTCCCTTGCAACATAACATTTCAGCCTGGCCACAACCTTGTCTTTCACATTCTGTGTCACAACGCCCTTGTCATGTAGCGTTTCAGCCTGTCCACAACCCTGTCTCAGCAATAACACCGAGTCTATCCATGCTAAAATTATTGATGTGACGATACTTTCATCGTATACGTGTCTTTATTCATTCGTTTGTCTATGATATATCAATATTATTAAACTTTTAAAACCTCAATAATAGCAACAATAGGAACAACATCCCTGTCCTTGACCTGCAAGATTGATCATGTGGGTGACAGCAATCGTCATCATATCTTGACTTATTTTTGTTCCTTTTGTGGTGTTTCAAATTGCACGGATGCAGTTCATACAGTTACCACCCAAAGAATTTATTATTTTTTATAAGTAGTCATTATTTTAGTCTGACTCAATGGTACATACAGTGGGGGGAAATAAATATTCGTACACTTGAAAAATCGTATTTTAATGTATGTAAGTACACAAACTTAACAGGAAAAGTGATTTAAATTATGTATAGAGAGTTTTTTGTTGCATTGAGATTTAATTTCTTTTGATAGTATTTTTGAATACTATGCGTCTCTATACATAATTTAAATCACTTTTCCTGTTAAGTTTGTGTACTTACATACATTAAAATACGATTTTTCAAGTGTACGAATATTTATTTCCCCCACTGTAGTTTGTTCAGTACATTAAAATAACGATTTTATCGCTCATCCGCTATACGGAAAATTTTTCAAAGCGCCGGTAATTAACTTAATCAAAGCGCTTTCAATTATCATTCGTTTTGAACTCGGTTTTAGAGACGAAAATCGCTGCTTTGTGCTTTGCTTAAAACCACCTTTTCTGACCATACACTCTGCCAAGGAGCGCTAACATTGCACTAGCTCCTCCACGCGCAACACTAACAAATAATTACCACAGTTAGTCAGGACACTGCTACACCGGAACTCGTCTCCCTCGAAGTAAGTTAATCATCTCTGAGACCTCTGCACAAGACGGCCTGCAATTTTATTCACGCTACATTTTATTTAATGTGAAATGCTAGGCTTAAGAACATTTAATTCTTTAATGCCTCCACATTGCCTTAACCTCAAGCATGAATTAATATAAAACGTTATATATACAGCTGCTACGGATAACTGTGAATCTAAAATTTATTTCTCGACAGTTGAAGCCCATGCCTTGAAATAACAAAATGCTGCCTATTGTGTTATTAACAATCATTTAAGAAAAACCAGGCGTTATTTTAATCACAAACAATGATGCTTATGCTTACTCACAGAACATATGTCCCTTAATCTAACATTGCATCGCTCAGTTTACTTTTTAATTCGCTCAATAATGCAGTATTGCAGTGATGATTAACTGGTCCACGCGGTCACGGGAGGGACAGAGCTGTAAAATAAAGATGAACTTAATAATAGAGATTAATTGAACGACCCCTCCATTGGACCGCTCCCAGGAGCACCCGTGGGGCCTTCCTCTGCATGGAACCCAGCGGAACAATGAGCAGGAAGAAGCACTGCTGTTGTCCCGTCAGCCTCTGCCTCCCCATGAGCTCATTGCGCGTCAGCTTTACAATCAGCAGAAGATGATGAATTCAGAAAACTTCAATCTGCAAATGATGGAAAAACAAAACTTTGATGCTCACATGAAGCGTCAGGGTGAAGGCTCGGCCCATGATCAGGTGATCTGAAGAATATCAGTTCAATGGCAACAATAAGTAATAGCAAGGATGGATATACTATTTCCGAATATAATGAAGTAAATAAAGAAGTTAGACGTTAGAAACCGCATCGTTATATTATCAAGTCAAAAAACACGCCTTAGAAAATCCAAAATTTGAAATCCTGATTCCTACGTTATTGCAACTAACTCTGTGAATAATGAGCGTCATGCCAAGTAATCCATGACATCTAAAATAGACGCATCCTTTGCACGTTTGCGATATTTTTGCAAGGGTACCAAGCTATTCTCTGTTCGTGAACTCTCTGTTGAGGTTCACCAGTACTTTGTCTCGAGAGCAGTTCTCCCACTGAGCTACAAATACTCTTAGGCAGGTACTTTATTTTAAGAAAAATGTTCACAATGTAAACATCGATTTTAGATTCCACTCCTGCGCGTTATTCTCTGCTGGGGTGAAAATACATCACTTGGACCAGCTTACTAATACGTTTATTGTTATCGTCTGGTTCCTAATCAAAAGATATCACTCACCTGCTACTAATCAGATGATTTGACTCACCTTCTGCTAATGAGGTGATGTGTCTTACCTGCGTACTTATTGTATTGTTTTTTACAACTCCTAATTAATCAAGTAAATCATAAGGTGTACAAACAAACTTCACCAAAGGGACTAACTAATCAAAAGATTCGTTTCTCATTTCCAAAGCTTGCTCTTGTCAGCGTGTATAGACTAACCGCTGCAAAAATCAATTGTAACTGACTTTACATTACCATATGTTGTTAATTCAACGCTACCCCGTCGTATGGTTCATAATGCTTAACTGGTTTTTGGACCACGCGGTCACATATTAATTTAGTTCTCCACCATTATCTAACATCCTTCTAAATTCTAAAATTGTCCAAAGGCTTAGTGGATGTTTTTAAGATGATTAAATCGCCATCAACCTTTTAAAGGAAATGCATAATCGGCCATCATCAGGAATATAATTGCACCAACAAGTTTTCTTTTAATTCATTATTGGTTGCCTTTCTAATGGAATGAAGGATGAAAAATTTTCTCCAGCTTCATAGCAGTTACATTCGTATGGTAAATCGGTCCTGATTTATAGTAATAGACAGTTTAAACAGAACTGAATTCACTTAAAACATACTCATTACAATAGTTCATTTAAACTGACTTTCAAAATTTGCAGAACCTTCATTCTGTCTCTAAAAAATGGGAGGCTACCCCAATGCCTTTGAATTTTCATCAGTAGAAACCCATTCTATATTAATGATGAATTTTTTTCTCAGTTAGCACTTCCGTTTAACTCATTTTTGTTTCATCAGTAGAACCCATTCTACATTAATGAGGAAATTTTTTTCTCGGCTAGCACTGCCGTTTAGCTCATTTTTTGATCGTGTCCGTTGCAGGTGAAGACAACCCAGCCCGTACAGCCAGTCGTGGCGGGCGTCCGGATTGATGCCTCAGGCAAGCCCGTCCCGATAGTGTCTGGCGTGGTGTCAGGTGAGAGGGGAGACGAGGAAGCGGTCCTCCTGGATTACTAACTTATTGCTAAATTCATAAAATGGCTTCAATTGCATAGTAGAAGCATGAATATTAGAGAGAACTGATTGCTTGAAATAGAAATACTCGCTTACGTGAAATGCACGTATGACGATCGTCATTGCATTAATGAGGCAAAGAGACTAAACGTATCACCGCTTGCCAGTCATTCATCGTGGTAGTCATTAGTCAAAAGTCGAAGTGTACTGTAGTATTTTGTAGTATATTTTGTAGTATTTAGCTCAATTGAATTTTTCAAATTTCATTTGTGGATTCTTGTGGTGCACAAACCAAATTTCATTGCTAAATCTCTTTTACTTTAAAAATTTGTATAAGAAACATTCGTCTTAGATTTCAAATTTTTTTCAGCTAAACACAAAGCTTAAAGATTGACCTGAACTTATAAGATCACAATTCAACGATTACTCAGGGATTTGTTAAATTAGGCATGCATAGCTTCTCGAAAGATAAAAATAATAATCTTTTATTGAAACAGATCAGTTTGCAGATACCGAATCACAGATTTGTCAAGGAACCATGAATTGAAATTTTTGCCAATATATGATAAATATATTAAAATAATTATAAAATACTGTTTGTCAATGATGATAAATCTTATATAATAACCTTTTATTATATGTTGTGAGATGGCAGGCTATAACAGAGTTGCAATATTTTCTTAAGAGAACCCCCAAACATATATCCGCCCCTGTTCACTTCGGGTTTTCGCATGAATGTTAGGAATCCTCTGTGATGCAATTTTTTCATACTTCATAATTAATCCCATAAGTAGATTTATTCCAAAAGTTGCATTCTGAGACGATTTAACTCCCTACGTCTCCGTTTGAAACGTCCCGTTCGTGTGTCCTTATCATGCCCGACTCGTGCTACCCTGAGACCTGCGCCATATCCTGCACCTCTCGCCCACCTCAACCTCTCAGACGACCGTCGAGTTCCCTGCATGTCGTCGAGTATGCCTGGTGTCACCTAGTCCCAGCTTCATGAATGAAAAGAGTATCTTTCAGAATTCATACCTACTTGAAATAAATAAGAGGGAATAACTGAAGATGACCTCCCGGTTGAGGAAGACCCTGGCTGAACTGCTGTTCCACTTCGTAAAGGTTGTATTCAAAATGGCTCCGATACCTGCAAGACGGACTACAGCAACAAAACACTGCGCTGAAGCGCGGAAAACAAAAAGATAGGCAATAAAATTGGAATCTGATATGGATTTTAGTATTTCATTTGTTAATTTTTATTTCTGATCTGATTTAAATTCTATTAAATTTTATTACGTTTCGAAATTTATTTCGATATATTTGAAGTTCATCGTTAATTTTATTCAGCTTTTTGGTCTTCCTTCCCGTTCATAATGTTCCTATCCTTACATCGCTTTGTTTTTCTCCTTTTTGTACTTATATTTTTACCAATTTTTAAGAATTATTGAGCTCATATTGCGATTCTTTGGATTATTAATATTTTAATTATTTGAAATGAAATACCCTAGCATGCTTTCACAGTTGAGCACATTGGTTCCATTCACCTTGTGTTTCTTTTTTTAACGCTCAAGCTTAGTTTCCTCTGTTTCCTCACTGACAGCCCCAATGCCAGCCGCTGCTGCTGCCACTGCAGGTAATGATGTTCTCGTCACAGAATCAGAAACTCAGAAGCAGGCAACTCAGCAGCTGGTTCAGCAACAACAGCAGCAAGAGGAGGATGAAGATGTAGAAATCGTGTACGAGGAGGTTGAAGAGGGCGATCTGGAGGGGGATGAGGAGGTGGAATACGTCGAGGAGATCATTGAGGAAGAAGAACAGGCTGCAGGACAGACCATCAGTGCTGGACAGACAGGCGGGTCTTCTACCACGTCCACCACTACAGTCAGGGTCGTAAGCCAGGATGGTGGCCAGATCCCAGCCGAGATGTTGCAGAAGATGGCACAAGCCCAGTCCGAATTTTCCCAGCAAGTGTCGAGCAGTTCAAGCGTGCGCATTCAGTCATCTTCATCAACGAGCTTCACGCAACAGTCATTTAGCATGAAGTCTGGCATGATCAGCTCCGAGCTGGATCTTTCTGAAGGGGTTGAAGGAGAGATGGTCTCCGTACAAAATACAGTCGAATCTAACCAACATTAAATCTTGAGTTCGGTTTGATGTACTTAGATTTCTGTCACCCTATTTTTTTCCAGATGAAGATGAAGAATACGAATACGAAGAGGTGGAAGAAGATGAAGAGGAGGAACAGTGATGACCTTGCTTCTCTAACGAAGATGGTTTTTTTTTTTTTTTTTGTTCTTATCAAATTAAATGGTTGTTCCAACAGTTTATGTGCATTTTTTGTGTGGTATGAGAATATTGTTGTTTCTTCGGGCTAGTATATTTTCTCGTAACAATGAAGTTAACCACATCGAATAAGTAATTTCCTCGGAGGTCCAAAAATCGGAACATTTTCTCCCACTCCACTAGACTTGGAATCGTCTCCCTTCCACTCGGCCTGTTGCGCTCCAAGTTTTATTTTATTTTATCGAACGTCGACTGAAAAAAACCAACGATTTCTGCTTCACTGGAAACGGTTCAAATAGTATATTGTTCGTATTCTAAAACACAAACTTTCAGAATATGATTACTATTTGAGATACGATTTCCAGCGGACTACAAATCGTTAACGCCAAGTCCAAGAGCACCGTGAGTTGTGGTCTCCATCTCGTGCGAAGCGAAGCTGACGCATTTTCTGTCTTGAATCTAGCAAATCCAGTACTTTTTTTTAATTTAGCTGTTTGGCTTTTTATCAATAAACGCCACTTGCTTTCGTAAGATGTGTTCCAGCTGTCAGATGCATGCTATCGCTCGCTGACTCCATTATTCTGAGGGACCCGGACGAACGAACGAGCCTCTGGCGAAAATGGGTTTCGTTAGACGAGTCACGTACTCTCTTTACGAAATGTCAACACTGAGACATGTGACCTGTGATGTGTAAACTGGTGCAGGCACAGCAACTATTCCTGTTTTCGCCGCGTATGATCCACTCCTGTACAGTCTAAATTTATACGACCCTATATGTTACCCGCATTTGTAGTGATGCTTCCTTCTCATGTCATGCTTCAAGCCTAATAAAGCGTTGGATTTGTTTATGAAGTTAAAAATTTCAAAAATATAACAATTTGGATTGTTCCTCATCTTAGACTGGGTTAGCCACAGCATCGGGTGAAACGCTGAGTCGTAAAATTTATTTCCATCATTATTTTCTGATTGAATTGCGTCGTATGGGCAGCCATTTCATGACAGAGTCTATTTCAGTTGATGTCGTTAGCAAAGTTAATGAACATTCTAACTGCAGTCTCGCGTCGCTGCACGTCGTGTAAGCTACCATACACGGCGTGCTTACGGCACTGGAATGCCTCCGCCATACTGCGAGTAATGTACCAATTATTTTCCATATTCCCGCTGTGCAGTGTTTGTTCTTCTAAAATATCAGCGGAAAAATGAGAATTGTCAACGTCTTATCTCATAGTAATTGTCCGAACCTAAGTTTAATATGAATGAGATATACTCTATCAATGTTGACATCAGTAATGAGAGCAAAATTTAGAATCCTTGTCAATTCGTTACAATAAAGGATGGAATCTTTCATTATTTTTGTCACCTACAATGCCTAGTATTTTTTATAGGAGTATTTTCTCGTCTCTATTGTATTTTGATGCTGAATTTAAATTAAAGCTGAAATTAAAGCTAGGCGAAGTTTTTTGTTTAATGTGGGATTGATGGCGCTTAGTAATGATGTGATAGCGTGACGTATATGAACCTAGTAAATCACGTAAATTATACATTAACGAGGCAGTTAATAGACAAATATTCCATTCAACATATCAAATGAATTCTATATAAAATATTCCCTTGACGCGATTAATGGTAATATATTTACGTGATTCGTTTGCTTAGCCAGAAATCGCAAATAAACTTGGTAATATTTTAGCTCTCAAAATCTATCTAATTTCAAAGCTTTTTATTTATTTGATGCGATAGCCTGCTTTAAAAAAAACATTACAAAGTCCGTTTCACTTTGATATTAAAATGAGTAAAAGTTGAGAATGTAAGTGCTAAATATGTACCTATCTACATGTTGACATGCGTTTAAAAAAATCTCATTAGGTACAGAGTTTCTTGTTCTCAGACCTAAAAAGGTTTGAGAAAAGGTCTTTTCTAGGCGATCGAGTACCAATTTGAGATCCGTGACTGTCACTGCATTCCACGAACATTATATTGTAGACGTTAGTGGGCACTAATATATGCATCACTTGTGAGTAATAAAGATTGTCTCACACAATCGGACAAATAAAGAGAATAGAGTCAGCTGATATTTATTCAAATTTATCTGAACGTACGACTGGCGTTGATCTGGCCAGTTTTTATTTAGAGGAAGCTGAATTCAAAAGTTTAAATGTTGTAGTAGAAGAACGGCGGTTCAATGAAGTAATTCCGTTTGCAACAGTTAAAAGTTCCTTAATGGTGTTGCCCCGACGGGTCCCAGATACTGAAATGACAATTAAACTACTTACTAAACAATAAATAGATCAGAAACTAGCTCTGTAGCAAAGAATTTCAAATTATGAATCAATTAGTAATCAACAAATAACTAAATTGACAAACCTAAGATTTTGGTGCATCTCAGTGCTTAATGCATGTAGTAAGAGGCAAATTAGAAATATAGACGAAATCAGTTAAAGGAAGGTACTCCAGACGGAAAAATAGAAAAGGACAGTTTGAGCTTTTGACGTTGGAAAATTGAAGATAAAGATGCTGAATCGTGGGTCACAGCAAAGGAAACTAGTTCCTCTGCCAATATCAGAGACCACGTAGCTAATTCGAAATTTGAGATATTAATAATTGAATTGAATATTGATTTGTCTAGAGTACCATAGAAAAAAATTGTACATAGAGCGTAAATTATTAATATGAAAAAAAGCAACATTCACACCAACAAAAATATAGTGAAACAGTAACCAGGAAGACATTTAGAAAAGCAGTAGCTCCTGTTGCGGTGCTGGCTGAAGTGAATATTGAGCAGAAATTAAAATTGAATAATTGAGAACTTGCTGCGTTTGAGAAAAGGCACGTTGCGAGATTGAACGTCTGAATGGTATGAATGCTTATCAAGGAGTCCGTAACCTAGCGGATACTGCTACCTACTTAAACTACGTAACTAAACTGAATACAACAAAACTGCGAACGCAACATGAACAGAAACGACATATAGACAACAAATTTACAAACGACTACAAAAATTATTAATGGTGGGAAATATTTCCCACACACTTCTTACTTCGTGCGCTAAAAATTAGCTCATTGAGAGATATAGAACTTCGATTCAGCAGCAGAAAGTTCAAAATATATTTGTTTTCATTAGGAGTTGAAATAAAGTAACAAAATTCTTTAAATAAAAACGAAAGTGTTCGTATATCGCTAATGATACCCAAGTGTTCAACAAACTTCAAATGAGTAATTCTCTGCAGTGATAGCGCCGGGTTTCTTTAGAATTCATCTAAGATTTGAACTAACTAAAAGGACGATTCGCCTTCGCATATAAATGTTATGTTTAGGCTACAAAGATTGTGTTAAAATTTCTTGCATGATTTCATGGAAGATTCTCTCATGACATGCTAATCATTGATACTAAGGCATATAGCAAAGATTTTGTAAATATGCTGGACATTTGGAGTGGTTTAAATTATTTGTTGAGTAACTTTAAGTATCACGCTGGCCGGTCCTGACATTTTATTCGTATGCTAAGTTTATCAAGTTTTCATTTCAACAAAATGCTCTAACTCGTTTGCGGATGAATTCTGAATCGTCTGGAAGTCATACTCATACGGCTGCGCCTGGTGCGCCACTGCGGGGCGCTGAGTGCGGGCTGGTAATGTTATGATGCTAGGGGTACGCAGCCGTAGGCCACAGATTCCACCTTCTACAATCTACATACCATGGATATTGTCATCCTGGCACCTGAACTCAATTGATCCATCTCACCATCCGAACTTAAAACCGATACCGAAGATGCCTCAGCAGTCACGGCCAGTCAGCACACTAGCTACAGTGCTACTATAGCTACATAGGCCTACTCATAGTTAATGGTCAAAACGTCGGTCGCCGTTCTCCCAGTTATTTTGGTCTCTGGCGTAAGACAGTATGGGAACGTAAATTAGGCAAAAAAGTAATAAATGTATTAGTGGCATTTAATGAAATGTAAATATTGTGATATATTGTTCATATTAATTGAATTTTTCCTAGTACTTAAATTATAATTGTTTAATTTTTTCTTCATTTGCAATGATTTTCTGTTTGAAATCAGACTGAATCAGAATTATTTGACTCTGACACAGTTCAGTAGCAGAATAACTAGCTACCCTAACTAAGGCATAAGTCCTTATTCTGTACTAGGTAAAAATTTAAAAGCAAAGAATAGTCCACAAAAATTCATATCTTTATAGAAAACGTTTCGGAGTCCAGCTCCATCGTCAGTTCGTAGAATCTAGAATATACATAGAAAGTCACAAGTTAATACATTTGAAAGCACAGAACACAATTAGAACCTAAATTTAAAAGTAATAGGGCATAAAAACCTATCTATTCACAATTTCAAGGGGATAGGAGCTCACAGCTGAATTTAAACTGGGCTTAAGCTTAAAAATGTACAATGATTCTAAGATACGCAAATCTGAAGTACCGGAGGTAGAAGCTAACACCCTAGAGTCACTGTCAGAAACAGGCACATCACACTGCTCGGCGTGAGTGCGCACAGCCGAATGAGGGGGGCGCGATAGCAACTGCCCGGTCCTACAACTCCTGCCCTTATTTGTATCGATTTGGTTGTCGCGGCTCGAATAGATTTACCAATATCTGTGGCGTACTCTAGCCGCCTAACGCCGACTTGACAGTGATGAAGAATGAAAAGAACTCCAGTTTCATCATTTATTCTATCTTGTTGGCGTAGAAAAACCGGCCTGCACATACAGAATGACATCAAAACTGTTGCATAAATTTTATATATCTAAGAGCGTTCAAATGAGCATGATTAAAGTAATAAATTGCATAGAACATAATATTCGGAATGTACTACAGCATGAAATAACGATAAATCGAAATTACTTATATATAAAATGAGCTCGAAGGATTTCACAATCCGCTAATTTAATTCTAGGATTCATGAATTGCGCTTACGTTCTTCGATGCTTACGTTCTAACGATGCATTTCCCCCTCATACGCTTCATTCGCACCAGCAACTCAAATATTTCTAGATAAATACTGACATCTATACATGATCAGGCGACGTGATCGTCACGATAGCCATAACCATAAGTAGGTTTACTAGACTGGCCTTTTTTTTGATAAATTGTACGATTTAATTATTTTTCCAAATTCGTTGACCGGTAAAAATTTGTGATAGTACTTATATACTATTGTGTTTTAAATAGTATAAAAATAAAGTAAACATTTAACATTTGCACCACAATCTAAAAAAATACAAGTAATTAAAAATTAGCACGTTTATATATATTTCTGAGGGTTTCGTGGAGATATGCTGCATTTATCGGTTGATTAAAAAATTCAGAAATGACTGAAGCTACATACATGAAAGTATTACTGAAGCTGCCGAGAGTTGCAATTAGCATATTTCTCGATATTGAGAGAAATTGTTCGGGATTTACGAAGTATCGAATAATTTATTAATTCAAAAATAAATGAACCTAACTAAATATCTTAAATTGTTAGCCTCACTGCCATGAGTTAAACTTAGCTTATTTCTAGAGTTTGGGAGAGCTTTGTGTTAGTTATCGGGATTTGCGACAGTTGTCAGTTGAGTAATTTATAGATGACTGAACCCACATACCTTCAATTACTACCACAACTACTATGAGTTTAAATAAGCATATTTCACGAGTTTGGTGAAGCTTCATGACAATTCTGTCCCTACGTTTGTATCGTGTGCCTACTACGGTTGTTACAATGTTACCTATGTAAACCAATAGCGAACTTCTTAACATTTATATTCTTTTATTTTTAACGTCGTTATTTACTATTTATCTTTACGTTATTTCTGTTTGATTTTTTGTGTTCCCTTTACGTTTAGATATTTATGAATTATCTCTGTTACCTGGTTTAAACTTTCTAGGTTAGGTAATAGCTTTCCCGCAACACCTTGGCTACCAAAGCTGATGGCCGCTGTGACTTAGCCGTCAGAGCTGATCGCCGCAATGATTTGAACGACAGAGCTCAGAGCTGAAAGCCACCATGGTTTGGCCTCCAGAACGGATGGTTACTATGACTTGGTCACAAGGACTGATGGCCGTTAGAGCTGATGGATGCTTAGGTTTGATCTCCAGAACTGATGGACGACCATGCTTAGCCGATATAGCTGATGGCCAGCGGCCTCAAAGGCTTGACAGCCAGAGCTGATGGTCGCCAGGACTGATGGACGCCAGAGCTAAAGGAGGACCAGGCTTGGCCGCCAGGACTGATGGTCACCAGAGCTGATGGACGACTTGGCTTGGCCGCCAGGACTGATGGCCGCCAGAGCTAATGGACGACCAGGCTTGGCCGCCAGGGCTGATGGCCACCAGAGCTGATGGTCG